ACAGCAGGGAAATTGTGCTTCCAGGAAAGTCTGCTTCAGCAAAGAAATATAATAAATTTATTTAAAGCAAAGGCCACAGAAAATTATTCCCAGACACTGTGCAATCACTTTGAAGAACAAAGCAATGGGAAGCGGCACAGAAACCTAAGGCAGGGAAAAATGCCTTAATCTTATCCCAAACCTCCTTTAGAAGGGCAGTGCAGGGGTAAGGAGAGCTGGGACTCTCTCCACCAAGAGTACTGGTGCCAGGTTGGAGCCATGGCCAGGGGCTGGTCCTTCAGAGCAGGGACCTATATTTGGGTGCTGTTGATCATTGACAGCTTTGGTAAGTGCTTGGGCTCCTCTGAGTGGAAAACTCCCAGGGTGCAGCCTTAAATGTCCGAATTTCTGGCATTTGGTGTTGGAAATCAATTTTGCCTCCAAATGTTGCTCTGAGTACTCAAGGGGCTGGAGGACACTTGGCAAGTGCTGTGCGGTATTTTGGAAAACACATTCTAATAATGAAGGACAAAACTGCAGAATTCAGTCAAGTCTTTGTGCTGGTCAAATAGTTGTTCCCCTTATGAAGCATATTTTTGTGGTTTTCTTTTTTTTCTTTTAAATGTCTTTATGGGCACAGTGTCTCTCCTTTATAACAGGAATGGCCTCGGCTTTGACTTTTTTTCTGGTTATTGACTTATTTATTCTGTCAAGATTGCAGAAGTATTTCATGTAATTACAAGTCATAATGGGGAAATAAGAAAAGCATAACTGCTAAGTTTAGATCTAGAAGTGATCAGCTCAGCCCAGCTGAATTCAGGAAACTGTTGCCCTAAATTCAAAACTAGGTGGGATGGATTGTTTAGGAAGTTGGCCAAACTGTATAGGCCAAAAAATAGTTTGCATTAATAATACAAAGCATTGTTCGTTTCTCTCCCACTGCAGAAACAATGTCAGAACATTGTCAATATTTGTGTAAAATCAGTGTTAAACTTTATTTAATGACAAAACAAAATGTTTTGTTATTTTTGGCAGTGAAACAATTCATGACAGTTCGTGAATGTTAGCACTAACTTGGGTTTTGGAGTTCCTGGTTGCAAGAAAGTGTAAATTTTTGGGCTGTGATATCTATCAAATGCTTCTGGTTATCCTTATGTTTATGGTAACATTTTCACTTTTGCTTGAAATTTTATGGGACTGTGGTTTAATGGCTCATCCTACTAATTATTTTCCTTTCTGTGTTCAGCAAACAGTAAGATGTTTCAGACCCATCCTCCTTCTGCAAGGCACTGCTCGCCTTTTTCTACTTCTGCTGTTTTGTCGGGTATTAGATCAAGTTTTTGGCAGAAGCTTAAGGCAAGACTCAAGGGTGATCTTGAATGGATGGAAGCTGAACTGCCCTTCCCCATCTCTTGCTGGTATCAGTTACCACCAACCTTGGAGGTGCTTAAACTTGATTATTGAGACTCAGATATTTAGTACCTGCCCAAAAGGTCTGAAATGGTGGGTGATCTCAGCGAGTGCCCTGTGTGCTATGACTGGATGAAGCTACTTGCTATTTCTTTCTGACCATGGGTGGTTCCCATCTTAAAATTGCTCAAGAGTTTGTCTGTTCAGCAAGGTGAATGCCCAAGGTGAGAAGGGGTTAAATCCCCACATCTCATCCCAGAACACCAATCTAAAACCTTGACTATCAGTTGGACAGGGTAAGAGAGGTCTCCGTGTTTCTACCTGCATGGTGCCAGACACAAAGTGTTTCGGGGTAAAGAGCAGCTTTTTAGCAGTGGTTAAAGGCTGCTTAAAAGCATGCAAGCCTCAGCCCTAGTCCCTGCTGTAGGTCTTGTTATTGCCTCTGTTCCAGTAACTGTTTATGTAGACCTTAGGTATTCAGACTTCCTAGTGACCAGGAAATTCTCTGAAATCATATTTTTCATTTACGTTTCCTTTGCCATTGAGCCTCTCTCTGTCCCTTCCAGCTGCAGGTCTGAGTGTATTGATTTAAGCAGGGAAAAGTGTATATTCGTATTAGGAGTATATCGTTCCCTGACACATTTTATAATATATTGGGATGTTCATAACCAGAAAGTAAATAGAGATTAAACAGTTCCTGCTCTGCAAGATGTCCCCTCATTGAAAGGTAAAAGTGATTGATTTCTGTTATACCCTATAGATATTTGGCAAACAGATTTCATTGTGTTCCAATGTGGGAACAAGCTTGCATACCTCACTTGGGTATGAAGAACAAATTGGTGTTCATTAACCAGGGTGGGTTGGAGTCAGTGGAGAAAGGGAGAGGAGCTGGAAGCAGAAGGGCAACCAACAGGAACACCAAATGGAGAGTAGGCACAAGTTTTGTGTCTTTCATGACCACCTGCCTGGTAACTTTTCCAGATAATCCCAAGTCCCCTCTCTTCCTCAACAGTTCAACACCTCTTCCAGGCAAAGGCAAGCAGTTCAGTAACAGCAGAATTGGTGAACAATACATTTTTCAGTTGCAATCTTACAGTGCCTCAAAGGAACAGGGTTGTTTTGCTCTCAGCTTCCTCAATCTTTAAGAAATAGATTGGGTCAATTTCCAACAACTTTATTTGAGATATTTTGATATGACAGGCATAGAATAGAAATATTCTACACTTTAGCATTTTGCTCAAATGAAAATGTTTGCTGAATTCGACCTGAATTTATGATGAGCCTTTTTTCTCCCTATTTTTCACAAGCGTTCGCTGCAGCCAGGGGTATGGTTACTGTTCAGGAGCGTGTGATAGATCCTGACTATCATAAGTTCAGTGCAATTATTTCCTTCTGCAGCTCTTGGCTTTTACAAAGAGCTGTCTTCACCTCCTTAACTGGATGTTCACACCAGGCACAGGTCTTTGCCAAACACTCACTGTTCTCCTGCTTGGTGCCCTCCTATGGGCTACTCCTGTGGATCTCAGTCTTATTGCTCTTGGGAAAGAAGGAGCCAGGAATGGAGCAGAGAGGAATGGGCTGGGAAAGTAACAGCAAGCCAAGAGAAAGAATGTGCATAGGAGGAATGAAGAGAGGAGACCCCCACGAAGCCATGTGATGGGGGCTGCAGTGTCTATGAAGTTGTCCACAGCTCTGTTGCTGGCACATCACAACCAGGTAATATCCTTCATCAGTTCTGTTCTAGCTGTGGGTGGGCTCTCAGACATCCACAGTGAATGCAGGCAGAGCCATGTAACATGAAAAACAAGGGGTGAACTGAAGAACAAGCATGCAGAGGTGGTGCTGGGGGAATCAGGGTGAGCTCAAGGGCTGTGTGGCCGAAAAATGTGGTGGGAGAAGATGGGGACCGAGGAGTGCAAGCATGTCTTCTGCAAGGAAAGTCAATTTGACACCATATTCTACTGTTCACAAACTGTTAGATGCACCGCTTGACCTGTACAGTTCCTTAATGGCTGCTGAGAAATGACTGTTACTGGAAGCAAGGGCAGCAGAGGTGTGGTGGGAGACTTCTTTATGAGAAGAGAAGAAGGAATTCCCATGGTCAAGCTGCATGCCTGTCTCCAGTTGCTGGCTGAATTAATTAATCTTCACTCTTCCAAGCAAACTGTATTGGGTTTGGAGTTGTCTTACATGCCTTCCTTTTCTATTCAAACATTAACACCAGTTGTTTTCTATGGTTTTAATCTGGTTTTGCTTTTCTTTCATATCTCTGGCTCTGCTGTCCCAACCTGTTTGCCAAGCCACCTCCTTTAGTTCATTCAACCCCTCTGAATGACTGTTTCTCCCCTTTGGCTTGCAAAACCATGATAAGAGAAAGCTACCGGTGTTTACACAATCAATGGACCGTTTGCATGTCGAACAAAGTAACTCTTTGTACTTCCTTTCTTTTTTTTGATCTTCTGACTCCCCTCTGCTGTATCAGATTGAGTTTGGGGTCCTGGCTGTTCTGGGCCAGGACAATTGTATTGCATGTTTCATGAAGCACAAGAAACACATTTCTGAGTTCCTGAGAAAGTAATACGTCTACCAACCAATGATAAATCCAAACCCATCTAAAAATAGTAGCAGGAACAACCAGCATGTCAAATCTTTATCTACTAAAAGCTTTTGCACATTTTGTCTAGAAATATGCAGAATCCTGAATTACCAGAATAACTAAAACCCTGAGCCACTTGGTTGAACTTGAAGATAAAACTTCTTTGACTTTGGGGTTGGACCAGATGGCCTCCAGAGGCCCCTTCCAGGCTAAATCCTTCACTCCGGGGTTTTATACACTGTTCAAACGTTGCCAAATTCAGCAGTGCTGAGCAAATGCAGGTTCTTTGATGGACACTTGGATCCACTGAAACCAGACCATGACTTGAAATACAGTTCCTCTTCTTAAAAATCCATTGTAGAATTCCACTGGATCCCATTATTTGTCCGTTATCTTAAGTACATTCCAAATCCCAGTGGGAGGACCATGTCAAGGAATCTGTAAAGTTCCTCAGAGATTTAAAAATAGAGAATTTGGGAGAAATTTTCCCTTATCTTCTATACTTGCCCCTATCTGCAGACTTAAACACCTCGTTCTCTGTGAAGGTTTGTGCAGTTTAACAATGATCAGTGTATGACCACTTCATTTTGACTTGAGTTTGTGATAAAATTCAGAAGATGATTTTGGTGGTTTCAGTTTTTCAGTAGATTACTTGTAGGACTTAAACAAACTGTCAGTCTTGCTACTCTGGTGAAGATAAAGCACACATAAAAAGCAACTGTGGCTCAGATAGGTCTCAAACCTGAGAAAGGGACATGTTACATTTGTGACAGCAACAGAACTTCACAGCTGAAAGAGGGATGGGATGGAAAAAGAGCAGTGAGTGCAACCACTTTTCATCTCTACCTTCCCTGAGGAAGACGCCAGGTTTTTGTAGAACCAGGAAGCTATAAATGTTGGGTAACAAATCAAACAAAGTCATGGAAATTAGGGAAATAGGAGCAGTGAGGAAATGTGATTGGTACCGACTTACTGAAGGGACAGACTGGGCTGCTGAGCTACACCCTTTAGCTCCTCTGCCTATAAATTCTGGTGCCCTCCAACATCAGGAGCTCCAAGGAGATGGCTGCCACCATGATCTTGTCTTGGATGGTAATGTTAAGTCTTCAAATTCAGGTGGATGCAGGTAAAGAGTCTTACTTCTGATCACCTTCATGGCTTTATTTCACACCAGGCTAATGTTGAGGTTTAAAGGTAAAAGAGGATTTAGCAGTGCAGTTTGGCTCTTTCAAAACCATAAGCAGGTAAAAGAGGATTTATCAGCACAGTTTGGCTCTTTCAAAACCATAAGCAGGTCAAACCTATGATCTGAGCAAATTATTTGTTATATTCATTAATTCAAATAATTTTATTGAAACTGCCTAATTAAAATTGTTGTCCTCACCATATTTTGTAAAGAGGCTAGTAAAGGAAAATCAAATGAATATACTGTAAAACCAATGGTATAATTTTCTGAATCTTTGTATTGGCGTAACGCATTTACAAATTAATACGCATTTTCTGGATGAAATGCATGTTTATTTTAAAGAGTGTGAGGTGCTCTTTGAACAATGTGCTTTGTATTTGATTAAGTGTATTGTTATGACTAACACATTGGTGTTTAATAACGGAGTGCCCTAGGTAAAGCAAGTACGGCATGTGTCCCTGTTCCTATTATTATTGCAATTATTAGAATATAATAGGAATTACTGTAATTTTGTGTTATTCTAATTTCCCATAGTCTAACTCCTGTTAAAAGAGTAATTTGATTTGGTTGCAGAGGCAGTGATCTGCCCAGCCACTCTCATCCCTTTGGGGACCAGTAGACATAGAGTGGGTCTGATGGGAGGGAGGATGCTTCGCACAGGGTGAAATGGTCTTCCTGGGTTCAGAAAATACTTTCCCCTTTTTCAGGTGGGGCTTCCCTGGCTGAGCTGAGTGCCAGCACAGTGCTGTGAGACACAAGGCGTTTCTTTTTAAGCAGCTGCTGTTACATTTCTTGTGCAGGAGGGGGAAACAATGGGAAAAGACCAAAAGTGTTTTCCAGCCCTTCCCCTTTCAGATGTAAAGCTCTGGCATTAACTTGACTTCAACTAATGAATCAAAAGCAAAAACCCACTTTCCCTTTCTGTGCTCCCCACCCTTGTAAGCTATAGAAAGAAATAACCATTGAGGGCTGTTTCCAGGCTCAGGTATTTAATGCTCTTATTATTTGCTCCCTCCATAAATATCTGAGATGCACTTAGAGATATTGAAAGCTAAGCCCAGATGTTGATATTGAGTGGAAAAATGCTGAATTACTGTTTAATCCTTTCATTACCATTTAATTAATTTAGATTTAAAGCCTTGCGTGCGTGAGGAGCAGTGTGGTGGGACATGTCAGAAAATTCCCTACTCACTGAATAAATGGCACCTCTCCCTTTTAGGATCTTCCTCTGCATTCAGAAATAACTTTAAATACATAAAACTGTGTTTTTAAGGGCCGATGTTGCAGGTCTTGTCATACATGATATTAGTCAGTGAAGGCGTATTCTCACCTCTCAGAGCATCCATGGAGCAGGACTTTTATGGCCAAGAGTAGCTGGACCTACCCCCCTTTCAGTCAGCAACCATCCCTTTGTCAGTGTCCCCAGGGGATCCTGCACATGCAAATTTTCCATCCACATTGATTAATCCATGTAAAGATCTCTCAACTTTTTTTTTTTTCTTTTTTGGTTGCTTGTGACGACACTGTATTCAACAGGGACACCAGCAACGCTTACAAGAACAGGTAAATTAAAAGTTATATTAAAATGTACATTCTTTACAGAATTGGCATTGCTACGTGTTGTCTCCATGAGGTTTCTTGCATTTGAAAACTTTTAGTCTGGCCATAGCCAATGTAGCCAACCTATTGGTACAGTCACGTGTCCTTCAAACTGGGCTCCCAGATGCTGAAATGTGCCCATGCAGACTTGACAAGGCAGCATACGCATGCACTTAAAATGCAGCATATAATTGTACATATATGTCATGCTTCTCCAAGAAAGAATGCAAGCCACTGCTGCAAGGAAGAGTTTAAACAAATCAGTGCTGGGGCTAAAATCTTAGGATAACGATGTTGTGAGAGTATCTGAAAGCACAGAGGAAAGTCATCTGTGGTTTAAACAGACAAATTTTAATTGATTACAGGCTTGTAGACTGTTTTCCAGTGATGTATACAGAGACAGCGCAGGACCCATGAGATGCTTGTGTTCATTTTGATTACAGGATTGGTGCCGTCACCTGATCCTGTGGCCTAATTTTACCGTGCTCTACTGTGCTCGCTTTCGTATTGCCAGACCCCTCAGCTCATCTTTTTCAAAATTGTAATTCTTGCAAGTTAATACAGTGACACTGTCATTAAGGCAATATGAAAATCCATTTCGTTTCCGTAATTGCAATTATTATTATTAAAACCACAATTATTAATTATTCAAACACTGAAACAACTCCATTTATGTTTTGAAAGCAGTTCTTAAACAGCCAAGCTCATCTCTTTTAAATCCTTTTAAGCATTTCTCTATTAATTATGTTTTTTTCTAAAGGTGAGATTTTTGATCTAGTATGAAAGTTACACACAAAAATAGAAAAATCTTCCTTTCATGGGTATGTGCTGAATTTATGGGCATTAGCTTGATGAGTTTACTCACAGCTACGTTTTTGGAGATGTTTGTTGACTTTTACCAATATTTGTGACCAGTGATATGAATAATAATAGCCTCCAGCCATGTAGATTTCAATCTTTAATCACCCATTAATTAGTATTTAGTTGATAACTGCTTGACTTGTCCAACCTTAAAATTTCTGTGTTAAGATTAGCAACATGTGTGTAGACGTTATTAGTGCTCAGAGAACTGCATTTTGTGAAGGATAGTTTCCCAGTGAGAGCCGAGTTGTTTAACTTTCTGGCAAGAGACATCCACATCCTTCTGAAATACACCGTTAAATATTCCAGTCTACAAAATGAATATTCACTTTAAGAAGGACGTAGAGTTGTACACAAAAAGCTAATGGTGGTCTGGACGCTGTCCTTCACCCACCCACCCCCCCCGGGGTTTGAATAACCGCATAAAGCCCAATCTCAGAAAATCTAACTCTTTAAGTTAGATGAAAAGAAACACTGGGAAGGAGATCACTTTTCTCAGCCTGCCAGAGCCCTGTCTTACGGGACACCTTCAATTTGTTGGTGCCACCTGGAGGATTTTCCATCACCTGTCCTGTACAGGAGCCTTAGCAGGGAAAAATATTCTCTGACCCAGAGTTTATGCCACCAGCTGTGGTCAACAGCAGGGTTATGGATGAAATCAGTGGTGTTGGAAGAGGAAAAGAACTACAATAGCTTAAAATGTGATAAGAATGTGAGTAAAGCCTGTCACGGATAGCTTTTGGAGACACCCTTTTTGCCTGCAGCTGTGCAAAATGAAGGAAGATACTGGGATCTGCACGTTAGAGTGCCAACAGTGGGCTTTGGGTTTCATTGTTCACTTTTGAGAGGGGTGACTCTCAACAGGATGTTCCATTTAGGAAAAATATTGCTCACTCATCTCCTGCTCTCTCCCAGCAGCAACAGATGCCTACAACACGATTACCACCACGTCTCCGGTCAGAGGTATGTCCGGAGAGGTTGAGGGAACTGACAAGCTCCTGCCCCCATTTATGGATCACAGAATCAATGGCAGAAGTTTGAAGGGACCTCTGCAGGACATCTTGTCCTACCCCTGATTGAACAGGGCCATTCAGAGGTGACTGCCCAAGTCTAGATGGCTCTTGGCTGTCTCCAAGAAAGGAGAGTCCACCAGCCCTGTGGGCAACCTGTGGCAACGCTCACTCACCCTCACTGGGAAAAGTGTTTCCAGAGGTTGAGGTGGAACCTCCTGTGTTTCAGTTTGTGCCCGTGACTGCTTGTCCCATCTCTGGGCACCACTGGGAAGAGCCTGGCTTTTGGAGAGGGTTGACTCCCCGCAGGTTGTCCTCTTAGGCAAAATGCTGCACACTCCCCAGATGATTTCCCCCTGCAGCACAAGGCAGCTCCAGCCAAACTCCCCCTTTGTCATTGACCACATTGATGTCCAGAGGGGTCTGGTTATCTGCTGTCCCAGGTGTCCCGCTGATGGCCAGGACCCACCAATGGAGTTGCTGGCAGAGCCAAGCACAACCTGTGCTCTAGACCAGGGGGATGCAGGGATGAGGCTTTGGGGTGCAGCCATGTGCTGGTGAGGGAGGGTCTCCTTGGGGCTGTGACAGAGCCTCCTTGCTGGTGGCCATGTCCTCCTCTAATGGCTTCTGGTGATGAGATTTCAAAAGATCTCTGCCTGTCCCTGGGCTCTGCTTCTTTCCACAGGCTCTCGCTCCTGTGGTGGCTTTCTTGAGGGTTGGTCTGGCTCATTCCAGAGTCCGGGCTATCCTAATTCCTACCCCAACAATGCTCGCTGCATCTGGAACATACAGTTGCCACAGTGGGATCTCCGAGTCGAGCTGCAGTTTGTGGATGTCGAGTGAGTCTGGTGGGGTGGCATCTGTGGTGTGGGCAGGGCACCAGGTGCTGGCTCTGGGCTCAAGGGTGCCTTGGGCCCCATGACGGACGCAGCTTTGGCCACATCTGTCCCTGTGCCGGGGCCATGCTGGGAACGGGGCTGGGTTGCTTGAGCCCTGCAGCTCCTGCCGGCACTCGTGCCGGGAGGTGGCATGGCCAACAGTCAGACACACCTTCCTCTCCCTCCACAGGCTGGAAGGCAATAGCTGCACTTACGACGCCATTAAGGTGTATGACGGAGGGTACACTGGGGCCCCGCTCCTCGGCACTGTTTGCAGGAATGACCATCGTGTCTTCAGGTCGTCTGGGTACCAGATGACCATCCTGTTCCGCAGTGATGGCAGCGTCACACAGAGAGGTTTCCAGGCCTACTACTCCTCATTTCACACCTCTAGCAACACCACAGGTATGACCACAGTTGTCCTTTACTCTTGGCCAGGGCAGAAGCACACATGATACTCATGGCGTCTAGACCCACCTGGCCCAAGTGACAGGCATTTTAGCTTGGGGCAACTTTTTGTACAGGAGTGGCCCCAGACTGCTGCCAGAACAATGTTTCTTGGCCTGATGGGCAGGGCCAGGGCTTTTTTCACTTTTTTGTCTGAGGCAAAATACTCCACGCTCACCTGCTGTTTTCTCCCTGCAGTGCCAGACAGCTCTACCTTGACTCCCCCTGTGTCTTCAACCACAGGTAAGTGTTGGAGGAGTTGAAGAATCTGATTCTCTCTTGTCCTTGCTGCGGATCACACCATCTCGAGATGGCTGAGCTTGGAAGGGACCTTTGGAAGTCCCCTTGTCTGATTGCCCCCTGCTCTAAAGCATTACTGGCCATTGGTCAACTTGGGGTCCAACAGGACCCCTGGGACCTCTTCTGGGGAGCTGCTTCCCAGCCATGTGGCCCACAGTGCCTACCAGTGCTAGGGATGTTCTTACCCAGGAGCAAGACTTAGCACTTCTCCTTGTTGAACCACAGGAGGTTTCCATTGGCCCGTTTCTCCAGCCTCTCTAGGTCCCTCAGGATGGCAGCAGGAGCCTCCTGGAGATTGGCTGCTCCTCCCAGCCTGCTGTCCTCAGCAAATGTGCAGAGGCTCTACTCTGTCCCATCATCCCAGTGATTAACAATGGTGTTCCTCCATTGGCATGGGAGGCCCTGCTGATGGGAGCTCTTGCACACGCAGAACACAACCTGTGCTCTGGGCTGGTGGGGAGGAGAGGGAAGGTTTTGAGATGCAGCCACACAAGGACCAGCCATTCATACAGGTGCTGACTGTGGGTGTCTGCTTTCTGTGTCTTGGAGCTCTTTTGGGGAGAGGTGATTCCCAGAGGGTGGTTTCTCTTTGCAAAACGCTGCTCACTTACCTGTTGCTCTTTCTACCAGCAGGAACCGAAACCTACAGCACAATTCCCACCACGTCTCCGGTCACAGGTATGTCTGGAGAGGTTGAGGGATCTGACAAGCTCCTGCCCCCATTTATGGATCACAGAATCACCTGATCACTGAGCTTGAAAGAGACCTCTACAGGACATCTCATCCTACCCCTTGATTGAATAGGCCCATTCAGAGGTGACTGCCCAAGACGAAGTCTAGATGGCTCTTGGCTGTCTCCAAGAAAGGAGAGTCCACCAGCCCTGTGGGCAACCTGTGGCAATGCTCACTCACCCTCACTGGGAAAAGTGTTTCCAGAGGTTGAGGTAGAACCTCCTGTGTTTCAGTTTGTGCCAGTGACTGCTTGTCCCATCTCTGGGCACCACTGGGAAGAGCCTGGCTTTTGGAGAGGGTTGACTCGCCGCAGGATGTCCTCTTAGGCAAAATGCTGCTCACTCCCCAGATGAACCTTTGGAAGTCCCCTTGTCTGATTGCCCCCTGCTCTAAAGCATTACTGGCCATTGGTCAACTTGGGGTCCAACAGGACCCCTGGGACCTCTTCTGGGGAGCTGCTTCCCAGCCATGTGGCCCACAGTGCCTACCAGTGCTAGGGATGTTCTTACCCAGGAGCAAGACTTAGCACTTCTCCTTGTTGAACCACAGGAGGTTTCCATTGGCCCGTTTCTCCAGCCTCTCTAGGTCCCTCAGGATGGCAGCAGGAGCCTCCTGGAGATTGGCTGCTCCTCCCAGCCTGCTGTCCTCAGCAAATGTGCAGAGGCTCTACTCTGTCCCATCATCCCAGTGATTAACAATGGTGTTCCTCCATTGGCATGGGAGGCCCTGCTGATGGGAGCTCTTGCACACGCAGAACACAACCTGTGCTCTGGGCTGGTGGGGAGGAGAGGGAAGGTTTTGAGATGCAGCCACACAAGGACCAGCCATTCATACAGGTGCTGACTGTGGGTGTCTGCTTTCTGTGTCTTGGAGCTCTTTTGGGGAGAGGTGATTCCCAGAGGGTGGTTTCTCTTTGCAAAACGCTGCTCACTTACCTGTTGCTCTTTCTACCAGCAGGAACCGAAACCTACAGCACAATTCCCACCACGTCTCCGGTCACAGGTATGTCTGGAGAGGTTGAGGGATCTGACAAGCTCCTGCCCCCATTTATGGATCACAGAATCACCTGATCACTGAGCTTGAAAGAGACCTCTACAGGACATCTCATCCTACCCCTTGATTGAATAGGCCCATTCAGAGGTGACTGCCCAAGACGAAGTCTAGATGGCTCTTGGCTGTCTCCAAGAAAGGAGAGTCCACCAGCCCTGTGGGCAACCTGTGGCAATGCTCACTCACCCTCACTGGGAAAAGTGTTTCCAGAGGTTGAGGTAGAACCTCCTGTGTTTCAGTTTGTGCCAGTGACTGCTTGTCCCATCTCTGGGCACCACTGGGAAGAGCCTGGCTTTTGGAGAGGGTTGACTCGCCGCAGGATGTCCTCTTAGGCAAAATGCTGCTCACTCCCCAGATGATTTCTCCCTGCAGCACAAGGCAGCTCCAGCCAAACTCCCCCTCATTCCACACTGATGTCCAGAGGGGTTGAGGGGTCTGGTTATCTCCTGGTGTCCTGCTGGATGGGCAGGACTCACCAATGGAGTTGCTGGCAGAGCCAAGCACAACCTGTGCTCTAGACCAGGGGGACACAGGGATGAGGCTTTGGGGTGCAGCCACGAGCTCGTGAGGGAAGGTCTCCTTGGGGCTGTGACAGGGCCTCCTTGCTGGTGGCCATGTCCTTCTCTGATGGCTTCTGGTGATGAGATTTCAAGAGCTTTCTGCCTGTCCCTGGGCTCTGCTCCTTTCCACAGGCCCTGTCTGATTCTCTCTTGTCCATCTCGAGATGGCTGAGCTTGGAAGGGACCTTTGGAAGTCCCCTTGTCTGATTGCCCCCTGCTCTAAAGCATTACTGGCCATTGGTCAACTTGGGGTCCAACAGGACCCCTGGGACCTCTTCTGGGGAGCTGCTTCCCAGCCATGTGGCCCACAGTGCCTACCAGTGCTAGGGATGTTCTTACCCAGGAGCAAGACTTAGCACTTCTCCTTGTTGAACCACAGGAGGTTTCCATTGGCCCGTTTCTCCAGCCTCTCTAGGTCCCTCAGGATGGCAGCAGGAGCCTCCTGGAGATTGGCTGCTCCTCCCAGCCTGCTGTCCTCAGCAAATGTGCAGAGGCTCTACTCTGTCCCATCATCCCAGTGATTAACAATGGTGTTCCTCCATTGGCATGGGAGGCCCTGCTGATGGGAGCTCTTGCACACGCAGAACACAACCTGTGCTCTGGGCTGGTGGGGAGGAGAGGGAAGGTTTTGAGATGCAGCCACACAAGGACCAGCCATTCATACAGGTGCTGACTGTGGGTGTCTGCTTTCTGTGTCTTGGAGCTCTTTTGGGGAGAGGTGATTCCCAGAGGGTGGTTTCTCTTTGCAAAACGCTGCTCACTTACCTGTTGCTCTTTCTACCAGCAGGAACCGAAACCTACAGCACAATTCCCACCACGTCTCCGGTCACAGGTATGTCTGGAGAGGTTGAGGGATCTGACAAGCTCCTGCCCCCATTTATGGATCACAGAATCACCTGATCACTGAGCTTGAAAGAGACCTCTACAGGACATCTCATCCTACCCCTTGATTGAATAGGCCCATTCAGAGGTGACTGCCCAAGACGAAGTCTAGATGGCTCTTGGCTGTCTCCAAGAAAGGAGAGTCCACCAGCCCTGTGGGCAACCTGTGGCAATGCTCACTCACCCTCACTGGGAAAAGTGTTTCCAGAGGTTGAGGTAGAACCTCCTGTGTTTCAGTTTGTGCCAGTGACTGCTTGTCCCATCTCTGGGCACCACTGGGAAGAGCCTGGCTTTTGGAGAGGGTTGACTCGCCGCAGGATGTCCTCTTAGGCAAAATGCTGCTCACTCCCCAGATGATTTCTCCCTGCAGCACAAGGCAGCTCCAGCCAAACTCCCCCTCATTCCACACTGATGTCCAGAGGGGTTGAGGGGTCTGGTTATCTCCTGGTGTCCTGCTGGATGGGCAGGACTCACCAATGGAGTTGCTGGCAGAGCCAAGCACAACCTGTGCTCTAGACCAGGGGGACACAGGGATGAGGCTTTGGGGTGCAGCCACGAGCTCGTGAGGGAAGGTCTCCTTGGGGCTGTGACAGGGCCTCCTTGCTGGTGGCCATGTCCTTCTCTGATGGCTTCTGGTGATGAGATTTCAAGAGCTTTCTGCCTGTCCCTGGGCTCTGCTCCTTTCCACAGGCCCTGGCTCCTGTGGTGGCTTTCTTCTGGGTTGGTCTGGCTCATTCCAGAGTCCAGGCTACCCCTACTCCTACCCCAACAACACTCGCTGCATCTGGAACATACGGTTGCCAGAGCGGGATCTCCGAGTCGAGCTGCAGTTTGTGGATGTCGAGTGAGTCTGGTGGGGTGGCATCTGTGGTGTGGGCAGGGTGCCCAGTGCTGGCTCTGGGCTCAAGGGGGTTGGGCCCAATGACGGACGCAGCTTTGGCCACATCTGTCCCCATGCCGGGGCCACGCTGGGAACGGGGCTGGGTTGCTTGAGCCCTGCAGCTCCTGCTGGGAGGTGGCATGGCCAACAGTCAGACACACCTTCCTCTCCCTCCACAGGCTGGAAGGCAATAGCTGCACTTACGACGCCATTGAGGTGTATGATGGAGGGTACACTGGGGCCCCGCTCCTCGGCACTGTTTGCAGGAATGACCATCGTGTCTTCAGGTCATCTGGGTACCAGATGACCATCCTGTTCCACAGTGACAGCAGCATCACAGAGAGAGGTTTCCGGGCCTACTACTCCTCATTTCATGCTCCTAGCACCACCACAGGTATGACCACAGTTGTCCTTTACTCTTGGCCAGGCAGAAGCACACATGATACTCATGGCGTCCAGACCCACCTGGCCCACGTGACAGGCCTTTTGTCTCAGGGCCAACTTTTTGGACAGGAGTGGCCCCAGACTGCTGCCAGAACAATGTTTCTTGGCCTGATGGGAACAGCCAGGGCTTCCTCCACCTCTGCCACTGCTACCACTGAACCACCATCCATTTTTCTGGCCCTTCTGTGCAGGCAGAGGAGCTGCTTGTTTGTGCCACACTTGTTGATGCAGCCGCAGAGGCCAAGGTGCCTGCTCATGATTACTGCTTATTTTCCCCCAAGCAGGAGTGCTGATTTGTTCAGGCGTGGTGCAGGGAACTCCTTTTGGCAGCAGAGGAGCCAGTGTGGCTGCCGCTCTCTGCCAGCAGTGCCAGGTAGCTCCAGCTCCTGGCCCCTCTTCCTGCTGACCTCTTGTACGGACAGGAGGGCTTGAGAGGTCTGGCCGTCTCCTGCCCCTGCTCACAAGCACACCATCACAAGATGGTTGAGGTTGGTCTCAATCAGTCCTGCCAGGTTGCAGTGCCCACTGCAGGTCCCAGGTTTCTGTGTCCCGGGGTTCCCATGGGGAGGGCTGACTCCCATGGGGCTCTTTGTCTGAGGGAAATGCTGCTGGCTCACCTGCTGCTCTCTCCCTGCAGCACCAGGCAACTCCACCTCGACTCCCCCCGTGTCATCGACCACAGGTAGGTGTGGAGGGGTTGAGGGGTCTGGATCTCTCTTGTCCTTGCTGAGGATCACACAGTCTCGGGATGGCTGAGCTTGGAAGGGACCTCTGGAGGTCCCCTTGTCCAATCACCCCCTGCTCAAGCATTGCTGGCCGTTGTTTGACTTGGTGTCCAACAGGACCCCTGGGACCTCTTCTGGGGAACTGCTTCTCAGCCATGTGGCCCACAGTGCCTACCGGTGCTAGGGATGTTCTTCCCCAGGAGCAAGACTTGGCCCTTCTCCTTGTTGAGCCACAGGAGGTTCCTCTTGGCCCATTTTTCCAGCCTGTTGAGGTCCCTCAGGATGGCAGCAGGAGCCTCCTGGAGATCGGCTGCTCCTCCCAGCCTGCTGTCCTCAGCAAATGTGCAGAGGCTCTACTCTGTCCCATCATCCCAGTGATTAACAATGGTGTTCCTCCATTGGCATGGGAGGCCCTGCTGATGGGAGCTCTTGCACACGCAGAACACAACCTGTGCTCTGGGCTGGTGGGGAGGAGAGGGAAGGTTTTGAGATGCAGCCACACAAGGACCAGCCATTCATACAGGTGCTGACTCTGGGTCTCTGCTGTCCGTGTCTTGGAGCTCTTTTGGGGAGAGGTGATTCCCAGAGGGATGCTTCTCTTTGCAAAACGCTGCTCACCCCCCAGCTGATTGCCCTCTGCAACCCCAGGCAGCTCCAGCCAAACTCCCCCTCTGTCATTGACCACATTGATGTCCAGAGGGGTTGAGGGGTCTGGTTATCTCCTGTCCCAGGTGTCCTGCTGATGGCCAGGACTCATCAATGGGGTTGCTGGCAGAGCCAAGCACAACCTGTGCTCTAGACTAAGGGGACGCAGGGATGAGGTTTTGAGGTGCAGCCATGTGCTGGTGAGGGAGGGTCTCCTTGGGGCTGTGACAGAGCCTCCTTGTTGGTGGCCATGTCCTCCTCTAATGGCTTCTGGTGATGAGATTTCAAGAGCTTTCTGCCTGTCCCTGGGCTCTGCTCCTTTCCACAGGCCCTGGCTTCTGTGGTGGCTTTCTTCTGGGTTGGTCTGGCTCATTCCAGAGTCCGGGATACCCCTACTCCTACCCCAACAATGCTCACTGCATCTGGAAAATACAGCTGCCAGAGCGGGATCTCCGAGTCGAGCTGCAGTTTGTGGATGTCGAGTGAGTCTGGTGGGGTGGCATCTGTGGTGTGCGCAGGGCACCCAGTGCTGGCTGTGGGCTCAAGGGTGCCTTGGGCCCTATGACGGATGCAGCTTTGGCCACATCTGTCCCCATGCCGGGGCCATGCTGGGAACGGGGCTGGGTTGCTTGAGCCCTGCAGCTCCTGCTGGGAGGTGGCATGGCCAACAGTCAGACACATCTTCCTCTCCCTCCACAGGCTGGAAGGTGTTAACTGCACTTACGACGCCATTGAGGTGTATGACGGAGGGTACACTGGGGCCCCGCTCCTCGGCACTGTTTGCAGGAATGACCATCGTGTCTTCAGGTCGTCTGGGTACCAGATGACCATCCTGTTCCACAGTGACATCAGTTTCAGTGGGAGAGGTTTCCAGGCCTACTACTCCTCATTTCATGCTCCTAGCACCACCACAGGTATGACCACAGTTGTCCTTTACTCTTGGCCAGGCAGAAGCACACATGATACTCATGGCGTCCAGACCCACTTGGCCCACGTGACAGGCCTTTTGTCTCAGGGCCAACTTTTTGGACAGGAGTGGCCCCAGACTGCTGCCAGAACAATGTTTCTTGGCCTGATGGGCACGGCCAGGTCTTCCTCCACCTCTGCCACTGCTACCACTGGACCGCCATCCATTTTTCTGACCCTTCTTGCAGGCAGAGGAGCTGCTTGTTTGTGCCACACTTGTTGATGCAGCCGCAGAGGCCAAGGTGCCTGCTCATGATTACTGCTTATTTTCCCCCAAGCAGGAGTGCTGATTTGTTCAGGCGTGGTGCAGGGAACTCCTTTTGGCAGCAGAGGAGCCAGTGTGGCTGCCGCTCTCTGCCAGCAGTGCCAGGTAGCTCCAGCTCCTGGCCCCTCTTCCTGCTGACCTCTTGTACGGACAGGAGGGCTTGAGAGGTCTGGCCGTCTCCTGCCCCTGCTCACAAGCACACCATCACAAGATGGTTGAGGTTAGTCTCAATCAGTCCTGCCAGGTTGCAGTGCCCACTGCAGGTCCCAGGTTTCTGTGTCCCGGGGTTCCCATGGGGAGGGCTGACTCCCATGGGGCTCTTTGTCTGAGGGAAATGCTGCTGGCTCACCTGCTGCTCTCTCCCTGCAGCACCAGGCAACTCCACCTCGACTCCCCCCGTGTCATCGACCACAGGTAGGTGTGGAGGGGTTGAGGGGTCTGGATCTCTCTTGTCCTTGCTGAGGATCACACAGTCTCGGGATGGCTGAGCTTGGAAGGGACCTCTGGAGGTCCCCTTGTCCAATCACCCCCTGCTCTAAAACTTTACTGGCCGTTGGTCAACGTGGGGTGCAGCAGGACTCCTGGGACCTCTTCTGGGGAACTGCTTCTCAGCCATGTGGCCCACAGTGCCTACCGGTGCTAGGGATGTTCTTACCCAGGAGCAAGACTTGGCACTTCTCCTTGTTGAGCCACAGGAGGTTCCTCTTGGCCCATTTTTCCAGCCTGTTGAGGTCCCTCAGGATGGCAGCAGGAGCCTCCTGGAGATCGGCTGCTCCTCCCAGCCTGCTGTCCTCAGCAAATGTGCAGAGGCTCTACTCTGTCCCATCATCCCAGTGATTAACAATGGTGTTCCTCCATTGGCATGGGAGGCCCTGCTGATGGGAGCTCTTGCACACGCAGAACACAACCTGTGCTCTGGGCTGGTGGGGAGGAGAGGGAAGGTTTTGAGATGCAGCCACACAAGGACCAGCCATTCATACAGGTGCTGACTCTGGGTCTCTGCTTTCCGTGTCTTGGAGCTCTTTTGGGGAGAGGTGATTCCCAGAGGGATGCTTCTCTTTGCAAAACGCTGCTCACCCCCCAGCTGATTGCCCTCTGCAACCCCAGGCAGCTCCAGCCAAACTCCCCCTCTGTCATTGACCACATTGATGTCCAGAGGGGTTGAGGGGTCTGGTTATCTCCTGTCCCAGGTGTCCTGCTGATGGCCAGGACTCATCTATGGGGTTGCTGGCAGAGCCAAGCACAACCTGTGCTCTAGACCAGGGGGATGCAGGGATGAGGTTTTGAGGTGCAGCCATGTGCTGGTGAGGGAGGGTCTCCTTGGGGCTGTGACAGGGCCTCCTTGTTGGTGGTCATGTCCTCCTCTAATGGCTTCTGGTGATGAGATTTCAATAGCTTTTTGCCTGTCCCTAAGCTCTGCTCCTTTCCACAGGCTCCTGTGGTGGCTTTCTTGAGGGTTGGTCTGGCTCGTTCCAGAGTCCGGGATACCCCTACTCCTACCCCAACAACGCTTACTGTATCTGGAACATACAGTTGCCACAGTGGGATCTCCGAGTCGAGCTGCAGTTTGTGGATGTTGAGTGAGTCTGGTGGGGTGGCATCTGTGGTGTGGGCAGGGCACCAGGTGCTGGCTCTGGGCTCAAGGGTGCCTTGGGCCCCATGACGGACGCAGCTTTGGCCACATCTGTCCCCATGCCGGGGCCATGCTGGGAACGGGGCTGGGTTGCTTGAGCCCTGCAGCTCCTGCTGGGAGGTGGCATGGCCAACAGTCAGACACACCTTCCTCTCCCTCCACAGGCTGGAAGGCAATAGCTGCACTTACGACGCCATTGAGGTGTATGACGGAGGGTACACTGGGGCCCCGCTCCTCGGCACTGTTTGCAGGAATGACCATCGTGTCTTCAGGTCGTCTGGGTACCAGATGACCATCCTGTTCCGCAGTGACGGCAGCGTCACACGGAGAGGTTTCCAGGCCTACTACTCCTCATTTCATGCCTCTAGCACCACCACAGGTATGACCAGAGTTGTCCTTTACTCTTGGCCAAGGCAGAAGCACACATGATACTCATGGCGTCTAGACCCACCTGGCCCAAGTGACAGGCATTTTAGCTTGGGGCAACTTTTTGTACAGGAGTGGCCCCAGACTGCTGCCAGAACAATGTTTCTTGGCCTGATGGGCAGGGCCAGGGCTTTTTTCACTTTTTTGTCTGAGGCAAAATACTCCACGCTCACCTGCTGTTCTCTCCCTGCAGTGCCAGACAGCTCTACCCTGTGGTGTTAGAGGGGTTGAAGAGTCTGGTTCTCTCTTGCCCTTGCTATGGATCACACCAGCTCGGGATGGCTGAGCTTGTCCAATCACCCCTCCTTTTCAGCAGTGTTGGCAGTTGTTTGACTTGGGGTCCAACAGGACCCCTGGGACCTCTTCTGGGGAGCTGCTTCCCAGCCATGTGGCCCACAGTGCATACTGGTTCTTTGGGTTGTTCTTACCTAGGAGCAAGACTTAGCACTTGTCCTTGTTGACGGGTTGTTCTTATCCAGGAGCACTTCTTGATGAACCACAGGAGGTTCCTCTTGGCCCGTTCCTCCATCACAGGAGGTTCCTCTTGGCCGTTTTTCCAGCCTGTCGAGGTCCCTCAGGATGGCAGCAGGAGCCTCCCAGCCTGTCGAGGTCCCTCAGGATAGCAGCAGGAGCCTCTGGGAGATCGGCTGCTCCTCCCAGCCTGCTGTCCTCAGCAAATGTGCAGAGGCTCTACTCTGTCCCATCATGCCAGCGATAAACAGTGGTGTTCCTCCATTGGCATGGGAGGCCCTGCTGATGGGAGCTCTTGCACACGCAGAACACAACCTGTGCTCTGGGCTGGTGGGGAGGAGAGGGAAGGTTTTGAGATGCAGCCACACAAGGACCAGCCATTCATACAGGTGCTGACTCTGGGTCTCTGGTTTTATTTTTTCGGAGGTGTTTTGGGGAGACATGACTCCCAGAGGGATGTTTCTCTTTAGCACGTTGCTGCTTCTTTACTCACTTACCTGTTGCTCTCTCCCTGCAGAGCCAGATACCTCTAGCTCAATGCCCACCATGTCAACAACCCCAGGTACGTCCAGGGGATTTAGGGGTCTGACTGGCTCCTTCCCCAAGTTATGGATCAGAGAATCACAGTATCGTTGATGTTGGACTGACCTCTGGATGACATCTTGTCCTAGCCCCCTGCTAAGTGGAGTCTCCTAGAGCTGACTCCCCAAGGCCAAGTCGAGATGGCTTTTGGCTGTCTCCAAGGATGGAGAGTCTACCAGCCCTGTGGGAAACCTGTGCTGTGCTCAGTCACCCTCACAGTTAAAAAGTGTTTCCTGATATTGAGGCAGGACATGTATGGAGCATCTGTGATGGGGTCTCCAGATGGGGGCTCACGTATTGAGGTTGTGCATGTGCAAGTGCAGGCAGAGAAATATTTTGACCATGGTTTTGGCCAGAGAATCACAGAATAATATGGGGTTGGAAGAGACCTCTGGAGATCATCTAGTCCAACCCCCTGCCAAAGCCAATGAGAGGAATGTTAACGCTCCTAATTTTGCTTATTTTCCCCTTCATTTAATACCAAAAGCACAATCCCTCAAATTATGCCAAAATAACCTTGCAGTTGATTTCACACCCAGTGTAGTCACTTCCTTGCTCTTGAGCAGGAATTTCACATGTGCTTAGGAAGCGTGTTTCGACCACTTCTTAAGTATCATTATTTCTCTGATTCCTATTTCAGCTGTTTGTTTAAGCACATCATTTGAGGATAGTGCACATTTCAAATGTTCATTTGCTTTCATAGTAAATTTTAGTTCTGTTAGTGAGAGAATGTGGTTTTTTCGTGTTTGTTAGAAACCAAAAAAAAAAAAAAAAAAAATTCCTTAGTCCTCAGAAAATCTATCTATGCAGCATCTTTCCTTTTTTTTAGGTTAAAATAAGTAAATGTGTGTTTTTTCTAACTTGGAATATAATTCAAAGATGATGTCCATTTACATGTTTCTCTTTTCTCAGAGTAGTTTGTACTGAAACTATCCCAGAAATGCATGACTCTTACTCCTTGGACTTGATTCCCATGTTATTTTATTAACTGCAACTGATCTATATATAATCTTTTTGATTGTGACATAAGGTCTTCATGTTTATGAATTGGATATTTGTCAGCATTCTTACTCAGAAACACAATAATTTTGATCCTTTTTTTCCTTCCCTTTGGTCACTAGCAATTCTAAAAGAGGTGAACCAGGCTCCGCTGAGGCTTTTTCCTCTTTCAAGGACCAGCTGACCTCCAGAGGTCCAGCCTCAATGATTGTACAGTTCCATGACAAATACTCTGTCCTGCTAGTGCAGACATTGAAGATCAGCATTATAAAAGCTGTTCTGTGTGCTTAGAATCTCCTAATCTGCATTCAGATAATACATGAACCTCATAGACAGACCACTGAAGCTGGAGGAATTCACTGCCTCTAAATTTTAGACTTATAAACTCAACACAAACTTATTCTAAAAGCAAGCTTAAATGGTGTGTAAGTATATTTTTCTTCTTGTATTTTCTCTGCAGAAGATTATTCTTGTGGAGGCTTGCTTTTCTCTCCATCTGGGACATTACAGAGTCCATTTTACCCCAGAAATTATCCAAACAATGCCGACTGTGTTTGGGAAATAGAAGTACAGAACAACTTTCGTGTCATACTCACATTTAGAGATGTTCAGTAAGTAAAAATTGATTACATGAGAAGATGATGTACGAGATCGACACCTTGGATTTACTAAGCGGATAGCTGCTTGATTTCAAGAGTGTTTTTCACAGCTTTTAGTGCATCTGGGATGAAAAATGTATTCATTTTTGCTTATTTAGTCAACAATGTGGCTGGCATCTAATAAGACAGAAATTGGAGGCTGTAATTTCTGTTCCAAAGATTTGATAGTCATATCATTAAAATGTACTCTTTTGCTATGAACAGTTAATTGGAGTTAAAAAAAAAAATTAAATGGAGAGGAAAAAAAAAAAAGGGAAAAAAGAAGCATTTAACTAAGTATTCATGTTTACTCCCCAGGATGGAAGGTGGCAGATGCCTGTCTGACTATGTGGAAGTCTATGATGGGCCACTCTATACTTCTCCTCTGCTTGGGAAATTTTGTTCTGGTTCTTATCGCACGTACGAATCTTCCTCAAACCTGCTGACTGTCCGGTTTCACAGTAACTCTCGATACACATACAGAGGTTTTCAAGCTGATTATTATTCCACTCCAGCAGATCAGAACACAAGTAAGTTCACATTTAAAGCAGAAACCTGCTTCTCCATTATTTCCTAATTCACTGTTTGTTAGTCTTGTTGTACCGCTTCAATGAATTGCTCATTTCGTGTTATTTTAAATTAGATCTGTAGCATTTTCTCTTGGTTTGAGGTAGAAAGATAGAGTTAATTGAATAGAGATGCAAGTATGTGGTCTGGATTCTGAACTCCATCTGCAAAAGATACTGTTTATTTAAGTATAACCTTTTTCAGTCACTTCAATGAGCTTGTAACGTATTTTGTCTGCCATTTGCTAGAGCTGTTGTGTTTGCCGGACTACATGCGTGCAGTTGTGAGCAGATACTTCCTTCAGTCACAAGGCTACTCTCCTTGGAGACTCTCCTTGAATGACCCCTCTTGCAAACCCAACATCACATCAGACTCTGTCATATTTGACATACCATACACCGGCTGCGGCACAGAGAGAGAGGTAGGACTTTAAAGGTTTCCACTGAATGTGCAAATATTGTGAGTGTTTAAAAAATTCAGACCCAAGAATTCATTTTGAAAACCAGCACAAGTTGAAAGCTATGCTGGGGTCTGCAGAGTGATTACGTGTCTTGGTGATTATGGGCTGCCTCTCCCTCTCCTGAGGGTAAGGTCAGATTTCCTGCATCTGCTGCCCAAGTATTCACTTATAACCTGTTATTGATCTTCCAAAGAATAAAGTGGGGTAGGAAGCAAATACTTGACATTTTCAAAGTCACAAGCTGGGTGTGGTCATTAAAAAGGTCTCAAAGCCTTTACTAAATATGACCAATTGTGGTTTAGATCAGATCTAAGCTTAAATACTGTGCTGGACCAGATCCTTCAAGTATTTGATGTTCAAAGAAGTGTATGGGTTGTATTTAATTTGTTATGTTTGCAAGTAGTGTGAGTAGTTTTCTCAGGTCCACGTTGTGGTCGCTGAATACTACATGCAAATTACAGGTTCTTATCTTGACAACAGAAATTACTAAGTTCAGACTTCTCCATGGTAGACTTTCTGGGAAATAATGCATTTACTGTGTCCATTGATGTAAGGTTATAGCAAAGTTTAGAATGCATAATAAGAAACCTCACTATATTAATTAATTTTGCATTTTTTATATGCCAAACAGGGAAACAACAACACAATAACCTATTCCAACCTTATTAGAGGATCGTCTTCTGGTACTGTAATCACAAGAACTAGAAATCTTCACTTGCATATCCACTGCAAAATGCTCCAGGACACTTGGGCACAGATAATGTATGTTGCGGAGGACAATTTTGAAGTCAATGAGACTCAGTATAGCAGATATGATGTAAACCTTACATTTTATCATTCCTCATCCTTCTCGTGGCCAGTGTATGAATCACCATATTATGTTAATATCAACCAGAATTTGTTTCTTGAAGCTTACCTGCACAGCTCTGATCCAAACCTGGTGTTATTTCTGGACACATGTGTGGCATCTCCCACTCCCCACAATTTTACAACAGCGACCTATGATATAATCAGGAATGGGTAAGCTCATATGCCTTAAAATTATAGATAGAACTGTCTTTGAACCCCTGTATCTCTCTCTTTCTTTTTAATCTTGTTTTTTTAAATTATTTATGTAATGGAATAGTGTGAGTACAGCATAGATTAATGTCAGCTTCTAACTAATTAATGAACATGAACATTTTGGGTTTACTGGGGGAAAGAGGACGGATTGACTCAAAATATAACACACACACACTCCCCAGCTTAAACATGACAAAGAGACTAAATGGCTATAGCTAGTTCACCATGGATTCTTATTGTCAGAGATGTAACAATGACATATCTCAGGTAAGGATAATTCACCTTCAGAAAAACATGCAGACACTAGGGATCTAGACAGCAGAGGCTGAGGGGAGGGAACACGGCTCAGTGCTGCCAATGAAGGGCATCTTGCTTTTCCTACCTAATTGCAGGTTTCTCAACCATTTTCAACATGTTGAAAGAGCACTTTTCATGTTATGTGTTATCTTGTGTGGAAATAACTGATTGCAAAGTGTATTCATGAGAGTTTTTCTGTTTCTTCGTAGGTGTGTTCGAGATTCTACCTATTATTCTTATTCCTCGCCCTACAGAAACAGGGTCCGGTTTGGATTCAATGCCTTCCAGTTTATTCATTACAATCCATCGGTTTACCTGCAGTGTGAACTGGTGGTGTGCAGGGCCTATGACTATTCTTCCAGGTGCTACCGAGGCTGTATTACCAGGTCCAAGAGAGAGGCAAGCTCTGGCCAAGAAAGGGTGACTGTTGTTGTTGGCCCAGTAGAGCTTCGGGAAGATGGTGTTGAGAAACAGAACGCGCATGATGTTGAATAAAATCTTGTCTCCTTTAGCAGACAGCTTCTTTACATGCCAATCTAATTCTGAATGAAATTATGCTCCTGCTGGCAATCCATAATAAACATTAGGAATGAGTTTACTGACTCCTGCCTATTAATCCCACTTCATGTCACACGTCTTCGTCTGCATGTCATAAAAACGCTAATTCAGCAGCTCTGCGGGGAGTCTGATGAGATGGGCACAGGCAGCTCTGTGGAACTCACCTGTTCCCAAACTGCCTGCCATTTGTAGCTGCCGTGTCTGGAAAGCTGGTTTGAGAGCTTCTCAGACAGATTTTTGGTCTCTAAGCTTTTTGTCTGTTGGGGTTCTTTTCTTAATGGTAAGACTGAAATGCTTATGTAGCAGTTTAAGTTCTATAAACAAGCTCTACTGATATAATCCTTGTTTGATGTGTATCTGGAATATCCTGGATGTATCAGAGTACAAAAAAGGGGTCTTCAAACCTGATCTATAATGCTATTTTTAGTCTTTTTTTAATGTTTCAGAAATAACAAGATGAGGGGTCAGATGTAACCATCTGATGGGCCTCTCATCCTTCCCAGAGCTGGATGCTTTTGTCATCCAGGAGAAATGAATTCAGCTCCTGCTCCAGCTGGTGTTTCTCAGCCACCGTTTATTACTGCTTTCAGGCCCCTGACAGTTGCTTTTCCCTCTTGTTTCTTTTGAAACATAAAGTGAAGAAACCAATTCCATACCAGATCACTTAAGCCCTGGTAAACACCTGCAGCTGATCACATTGGTTGAGTAATTTGATGGCTCACCTCCTGAGAAGAGGTGGGCTTGACATAACAACTCAGCATTGAAGGAAGCCAGAAGACCAGGGAGTTTGGGGCCTGATAACAACCCTCAAATTAGTTGCCACCTGCAATATTAGGCTCTCAAATCGTTAACACAGAACCTGAATCATCAGCTTCCTCCTCTCAAGATAATAATAATTGCATGGTGTAACAAAATGTTTCAGAGGGAGAAGGTTGTATGCACCTTTGAAGAAGCTGGTGTCTTGAAGAAGTGTTGCACTTCCTTGTTCCCTTGCCTATGGCTTCCTGCACGAGGCAGGCTGCTCTCCTGCTGCACCTCTGGTGACCACAGCAGCAGAGCACGATGTTCATCTCATGATGAGCACACCTCATCAGGACCTTTGTTGCAGAGCAGCTTTGCTTTGATGTCTCTGGAAAGTGCATTTTCATCCTCAGGGCTGGATTGTGTGTGATCAAGGCTGACCCTGGACTGTGGCCAAGGCAGATGGAAATGGACTTCAATGGCTGCTCTCAGGGCAGCCCCACCTGAGTCAACAGACCTTTGGTACCTTTATTGCAACATTTAAAAGCTTAGGATAGCAGAGAAAGCAAGACTGGCTTTCTTGGGAATAATTGGAGCTGCGAATGGGCAAACAAAGCTACTGTTGCTGCCTCTTTGTTTTGGAACTTGTTCAAAACTTCCCAAGGGAAAAAACCTAGATCAGACTTCAACACCTTTTGACTTGTCACATGACCACTGTGATAATGTAATTGCATACAGCTGGGGGAAATTTTTCCCTTCTTTCTGAAGAAAGGAAGGGCTAAAAGATAACATAGGTTGAGGACTGGACTGTGTGAAAGCTTAATGATTTGCAATTACTTAATGTTTAAGACCAAAGTATGTGGATTAGCTAAAGGGATATAATAAATTTCTGTTATCATGAAACTACTACCTACATAATTTCATCAAAACCCCAAATGTCTCCATAATTTCCCCTCTCTATTAAATACTGGTGAATGAATAAGTAGAAAAGATATGAGCATCCCCATTGCAATATTTACACTGTCATATTTGCACGAAGGTCTGAAGTTTTCTCCAGCGTTCCTTGGTTAAGTACGGTGAGTCTCCTCCATCTTTATATCAAATCTCAAATTTTGAAGTGCTCTTAGTAAATACAAATAACAATTGTTAATAGCTAACTTCTACTCTTATATTTTCCTTTTTATAATAACTTTTTTCTTAAGTGTTGTTTTAATTCTCATTTGAAAAGACTTGTGTTAGTTTCTATTTCTCGTTCGAGGCTTTTTCTCAGTTTAGTAAAAGCCTGAATTGTTACTATTCTTAGCTCGGGTTCTTGGTTCAAAACTAGACCAATCTTCCTACACTGAAGAGTGGCAGCTACAAAGGGCACAATGGAATAAGTCAATGGCTATTGTCTTTTTCTTTTCTTTTTCTTTTTTAAGGGATGACTCATGCATCCTTATGACAAGACAGAGTAGATTCATTGTATTATTGGATTCATGTGAACCAGGGAATGCCAAGCCAGAGGCAACTGCAGCACAGTAAATTCCTCAGGAGTAAAATATAGGTTGTGCAGGGGATGAGATGTATGAGATTCTTACAACAGATAACTTGCAAACACAATGCAGAATTTTTTCAGAGTATTTTAAACATTTATACTGGCACTTAGCTGTTAGTTATGTAATGGCAAGCACAGGCGTGCAGGGGATGAGATGTATGAGATTCGTATAACAGATAACTTGCAAACAAAATGCAGATTTTTTTTTTGGAGTATTTTAAACATTTATACTGGCACGTAGCTGTTAGTTATGTAATGGCAAGCACAGGCTGGAGACCTCATCACTTGCTCAGATGACCCAACTGCGTTCCTGTGTTTTCTCTTCCTGCTAAAGAACAAAACCTACTGCTTGGTGTTGGTATGGTCATGCCCCAGCTGTGCCAGGCACTGTAGAAAGGATTAGCACAGGTTGGTTTGGTCACTGGGAGTTTCCCAATGTGGAAGCTGAGGTGTGTTGGCCTCCATATGCACCCTGGTTGTGAAATTTATAAACTGAGGGGCATCAGCTGAGCAGTAAACATTTCAGCAAATATCTTCATAATAGATTTTGAGAAGTGTAACGGCATCCTGATCTTGCTGAGATTAAGGCAAACATTTAACTACCTCAAAATTTCTGAAGATTTTGGGAGACTACTCATAGCAGAAAAGTTGTACATATAGCTTAGTTAAACATTTGCAAAGTTTTGTTACTCATTCTAATGTTTGATTTTAAGATCTATTTGGGGTCCTGGTTAAATGCCAATACCTACTGCAACAGCTAATACAGCAACACGTGTGCAAAATTGACTTCATCTAGTGTGGCAAAATTCATGGACTTCTTTTTCCCTGTCTACAAATTGCTATAGAATGGCTAGTTATGGGCAGTAGGGAGAGGAGTATTATATATTTGTCATTACCCATCCATTTAGTAAACACTATGCTCCCCGGACAGATGAGGTGTATTTATATTGGTCATTGCCCATCCATTTAGTAAACACTATGCTCCCCGTTGCCTCACAGATTGTCACGTGCAGGGCACCCCTCCTATTATAAAGAGCAGACTGGCAGAAATTACTTACCCAGTTTGGTAGATTGGAAAAAAAAAAAGAAAGAAAGAAAAAAAAGAATTGCCACATACTGTCCTATGCATGCTACCTTGTTACACTTGTGATTCAGGGAAAATAAAATACACAGCTCAGAAAACTAGGTCATGTTGGACCTGTATTAGGATGGAGATATGAAGAAAATATTTTTTTAATGGAAAATCTTTATCTTTTCTTTGGGTCAGATTTTAACTATTAAAAACACACATTTCTAAGTCAAAACGTCACAGGAAGGAAACGCAAACATTCAGGCAAACATTATTTTGGCGCATAAATTAGATTTGTCATTTAAAGTAGCGCAATATTGATGTTTGCATCTATCATATTTCTTAAAACTTCTTAATAATTTTCATTGCATTTTTTCTTTGTGCTAATCAAAGATCTGAAAGGATCTAACTTTTTTATTGACAATTGCGTAGTATTTATCTTTATTGATGATTGACACTTAAAGAACCCAGAGCCGAACATTTGCTTTGAGTTAAGATAGCTTTTAGTTTCAGAAACATGTGCTTTGAGTTAAGATAGCTTTTAGTTTCAGATCTATTTCTTGTAACAGATTTAGACACAGCCAATTCTTCCACATTGAGCAAGTTCAATATAAGTGACATGGTATTGTTTTCGCTTTTGTAAGGAAGTCAGGAGCAGTAGAGCTGTGAATAGCAATGTTGAGGCTTACATTCCTTTATTAACATATGAATACAATCAGTTGTATTTACCATTGTCCTTCAGTTTGTTTGCTCTTCTCAGCAACTGCTTTGACAGCTTCTGATTCTGTTCTGGACTCTGGCCTTTTGTCTCTATTTTATTCTAGTGCTGTGAAACTTTGCAGAAAGAGGACTCCCTATTCCCTTAGTCTCTAGACTCAAGATGTGTTTTCCTGAAGGAGGAAGGTTGGAATATACCATCAGGAATCATGAGTTATGTCAGCTGTTGTGGTTTGGTTGCTGTTTGTATTATAGCCAAAATGAACAGATAGGTACAGCCTGTTTCTAACTGGCCTGTATTTCTCCTCGTCAGATGAGGAGAAACAGTAGAAGTGCAATATAATGGCCTCAGTGAGCAGATTAGCAGGATGGGATTATGGGCTGTCCCTGTCACAGAAGGAAATACCTGACATGGTTATGATTTAGCAGCAATTCAAAAATTTATTGATGATTTGAGATAGATCAAGAGGTTAAGTTCTAGCAGCGCTTAATCATTAACAAATTTAATGATTTACAGGATGATTTAAAGAAATAATTGAACAGCAACTTCATTACAAATTTGAAAATGGCAAGATTCACATTAACTTACTATAAGGTATCCTAAATCACTAGTAGCATCGTATAGAGTGTAATAACTACAAATTCTTAGTTGTTCTTTGATATCTCACCATAATCCTTACTTGTTTGACATGGCCGCAGGATCATTTGTCAAACAATGTGCGATAAAACCATTTACAGTAAAAATATCTCAAGAAAGTGCCATAAATGAAAATGCACAGGGGCAGCACATAAGGAATTGCTCCTGTACAACGTTCCTTATTTTGGTGTGTATCATTGTTCAAAATTACACCTTTCCCTGAGAAGATGTGGGCCATTTATCAGATTTTGTGTAGTGGATGAATATAATCAAATCTATTTCGCAATTATCTAACTTTAAAAGGCAGAAAAGAAAACATTTTTTGAGCAATATTTCTTTTTATGCACATGCAAACACACCATCTATGTGTCTGAACTCCCCGTTAATGCGTTATCAAGTTGGAGAACATGGCTTCTGACAAAGTGACTTTGCCAAGCAGTGATTTCTGCTCACATTCTTACGCATTTCTACACCTGTAACAGGGGGGTGGAGGGAGAATGTACGTAAGTTACCATAAGGAAGTGACCTGTCTCCTATCCCCATGCAAAACCAAAAACAATAATAAAGGAAGAATCTATTTGGAAGAAGCTGCTTACTACAGGTGGAAAGGTCAGTGGTATTTGACTGAGAAATGTTCTTCTTTAGACTTTCCTGTTTTCTAGCCAGCTATAACAAAGCTTGTTGGGAACAGTATAATGTATGATGTGTGATGTGAGCAAGAGACAAAGTAGTGACGTTTAGGAAAGGTGAGCTTGACCCTAGAGTTACATCCTGACCTAACGAGGAGGATGTGGGCAGCTCTGATGGGAATCATCACTACAGCCTGTACCGATTCTTTCTGCAAGCTGCCTTTTTCTGGGGACCCCAGGCAGGCTTCTCCTCATCTCTGCATGCTGTGAAGAAGGGACCATACAACCAAGGATTGACATTGCCCACAGAGAGTGGAAGTGAATCTTCTTGTCCACACACAAGGAACAAGAATTGTGGAAGGTTCTCCCTTCCTCTCTGTCTACAGTCAGCTTTGAATGTGCCTTTATGGGTCTGAGCTGAGTCTTCCCATGGTATTCTGTGCCAGGGTTCCAAGTGGAGATATAACAAGATATATCAGAATGAAAGGTAGAAGTACCAAGATCAGTGGTTTCCATATTAAATGTTGCTGCAGACAAGTAGTTGGTGTATCAGACTCATTCTCTTTATTTCCTGCCTCCTTCCTTGATCCAAAAGTACTATAGAAATGCAGGATTCAAGAACACTGGATTCCGTGATGAGGAAAGGGTCATACTCAAGTACATATACCTGATGAATGGTGTCTCCACCAAGAACCTTCCTTCCCATCTCCTGCCCCACCACATTCACAAGGCTTCTACTGGTAAATATAGTAGATTTGACTCTCAGTAGCAGACAGTTCTGATCCAGTTGTATCCCCATCATTAAACAAATGCAAAGTGTTTTGCAATTCACACACAGCAGAACCCAAGAGGCAATCAAGGAACCTGATAAAATAGACTAAGCTTGCCTCATTGTATCTTAATGCATAGATTCAAATTATCATTTCTTTGTGCAGAGGTCTGGGGATACCCTCATTCCAGCCCAGATACTTTCTTATAGTCAGGGGTGAAAACTAATTAATCATCTTCTATATCCTTTCAATAGTTTCCATTCGGATCTCACAAAAGACAGTCTGTCTGCAGAAGTTTCCTAACAATAATCAGTAGAAGAGAAAGGATTTTCAAAGCTCTGTGGAGCTTCTGCCACAGAGTAACTTGCTGAGAAACACTTCAGGCTGCCAGAAGAAGTCCTAGAGAGCAAATATGTATTACTGAAAGAGACTTACCTAGCCAATGGAAAGGATGAAGGTACGTGCTGTATGGTATTTGCATTAATTAATTAATTCACATTAGTTGGAATGTAATAACTATCTATTCCTAGTCTACAGAATTGTCCAATAATCTAGATCTCCAGAAATATCTAGATCTTTTAAGTTTGTGGTAAAGAATTAATTCGTGAAGAATATAGTGAAGAATTAATTAATTAATGTTGTTTATTTACCTGGACAGTTTGACGTGTTTTCTTTCACTTGAACCATCTGGGAATCACTTTCATGTTCCCCTGCCTCCCTACCCTTTTCAGTTATTATTACGAGAGTTTGGAGAAGAATTGCTGTCCATTACTTACTCTTGCTTCACTGGTTACTGTGTTTGATTGATTAGTCAAATATATTGGATTTTTCTGCTTCTTGCCAAGGTGTCAAAACCAGAAGAATATGAATAGTGAATACCAGGTGTTATGTACATTTCCTCATTCATGTGCAAAAGTGGTTGTTTGTATAAAGAACAAACGTATTTACCTTTCTCAATGTTCACTTTCACACCTTCCAGCATTATCTTTGGCCTCTTGTGTTTTGCACTTCCTTCTTCCATTCCACTGATGTTGGCTTTTGTGGAAAGACCTTCTAAGTAATTTTTCCCTTGGGCTCCTGCACTTTATTCTTCATCCGTGGTGACTGCCCCTGGAGACAGTAAATTTGTATATGGCAACAATTATGCCACAAATTTTAACTCCTGATAATACCGTCCAAGGGTGTAGAGGTAGGAATCAAATGAAGAACAATATTCTGGCTCTCCAGGGTTAGGATGGTCATCCGCCTTTTCTCATTAAATGGTTAAAACACAGAAACACAGGAAAGTAACCACTCCGGCAAGATTGTGATGGATGAGAATTAAGCATTATTTCATATAGTTGAAGAGCTTTGGATTCATTCTTCAAAGAATGACACAGCTGTAATCGTCACTATGCAAAATAAAACAAGAAATATATTAAGAAAGGTTCTTAATAGAAATCAGATCTTTTTTTACCTATTTCTTGGTTCAAAGCATTGGTGCTGGAGGTGTTGACTTCAGCTGTAAGGTTCTTCTGGAACCTCATAGTGATTTGCTTACAAGACTTGGCTCAGTCTCTCTCCTTAGTTATCTGGAGCATGAGTTGAGGCAAAGTTATCTCCTACACTATGGTGTGAGCTCCTCTTCCCTTGGGGCTGCGGCTGCCATGCAAAGAAAATTAGCAAGAAATATTTCACACCTCTCTCAGTTCCCCTTGCTGCCACCCCAACTCTCATTCCCCAGGTCCTGGACTGGCAGCTCAGCCCAGGACCACTGATTACCTCCTCTCCTTTTCTCACATCTCCACCATCTTGCCTCTCCAGTGGCTCCCACTTTGACTAAGAGGCTGCGGCCACCTCCTACCTTAACCTTCTTGTTGTTGGCTCTGCTGCTGATGGCAGAGGAATTGATGTTGTGATGAAGCTATCAATTTTGATAGCACATAATCATCCCAATTAAGTGTGTGTCTGTTATATTCATGTTGCATTCAGCAACAGCCAGAGTTCTGGTGGGTTACGTTCAGAGACTGCCCTGATTATACTTGAACAGGGCCACCAGATCTTATTTTATTTGAGTATGCCAAACCTGTAACAAATTCATGGCTCCCCCGGGAGACTTGCCTTACTAGTTGGAATCAAGTTATGAAGTTCTTTTATTTGCTGGAGGAGACCCAATTAAGTTTTGAGATTCCACCACCTTCCCCAGACCTGCCAAGGAATCTCCCCATGAAAGAAAAATACTGAGATACACCAGTCAGAATGGAAAGGTATCTTTGCATAAGAACTCATTTTCTTTGTACAACAGGATGATTGTGAAACCTAGAGTAACATAAATATTTCCTTCCAGGAATGCAAAATGTTACTCTTGAGATATTATCTTTTTGCAAAACCCGGGAAGTTACAAAATCATGAATAACAAATCAAACATATTTTTGTTTCAGATCATAGGACTGTGGTGGTTTTATTGTTCTTCTATAGAAAGAGAAACGTATAAAGCCACTCCCCTTCAGAATTAGACTATATAATCTGAATGTCCCGTCTTTCAGCAGCGCTTGATAAGATGGGTACCACTATGATTTTGACATGGCTACTCTTGTTAGGTCCAGCAGTTCTGGAGGCCAGATCAGGTAAAGCACTTAGAATTATTCCAGGGCACACAAAAAAATTTATAAAGACTGCTTGGGGTCCTCTCTGTTGATTCCACAAATAGAAATCATATTCATGCTGGTATTGGTTTGGGCAAAAGATTAGAAGACAAATTGGATTAAAGAAGACAGTTTTGTTCTATAAAATTATGAACTATTCATCATAGTAAATAAGAATATTTTAAAACGTTTAAATGGAGTTCATTTTGCTGCCACAGGTTGTACTTAGTGCCTTGTGTCATTGTGATACTTTTGATACTTAGTGCCTGTGAGTATGTTATGAATGAGGCAATCTTACAGCTCCAGAAACTTGATTTAAGAAATATTTAAGAATTTATTTTTAAAATGTATAATTATTCCAGAGTATACACACACATACATATGCTATATATTTAATTTTGCTTGTAGTAACTGATTCTTCTTGATCTTGTGTGTAATTTAATGAAATATAAGTTAATTTTCATAATCTAGCACTGTGGATAATTGAGGGACAGCTAAAAATAATGAAAGACATGAAACTTCTTTAGTTCAATTTTTTTTTTGGTCATTGACTTTTTGTTTACATGATTTGTTTCTATCTCGCAAGTGACTTAGGTTACTTTGAGCTAAATAGTTCTATGTATGTGCTAGAATAATTGTCGATTATTTTTCTAACGAGTTATTTAAGCATCATTGTGATAATTTGTACTGCCGTCATTCACCTCATCCAGTGTTCTTCATCTGTCCTCTGCTTGTCTGGTGATAAACCATTTTGCTCTTGCTGCTCCACTTCTCTCTGCCCTTGGCTTCATTCCCCAGCCCTTGCCTCTGTCTCCTGGGTCAGAGTAAGTCCTATATTTGTATAATCACAGGCTTTTGTCTTTTTGACACCTTTAAAGCGTGAGGCAGGACACAATCTCTCTAACTACATGCCCCGCAGACGGTTACGCTCTCACAGTGATGACAGGCCTTGAATGAAAGCAAATAAAACTGTTTGAGATCAGCTTTAATTTCCTAATCCCACTTTGACTTTTTGCCAGGTTTGCTGTTTCAATTCTCAAAAGTCCTGTGAGTATCAGTTAAAAATGTCCAAATAGATACTTGAGGAAATGAATCAGATATAAGTCAAGGGGCACTTTCGTAGCCTCTCCCTTTGAACTGTGGGTTAAATGTGTACAAATAAGGACAGATTTTGTCCTGCTAAATTAGATGCAGTGAAGAAATCCTGGAGCTGTTAACTTATTAAATTTGTTTTGCTCTGGTTGACTTATTCAGTGTTTAATAACGATGGTTAATAAGTATGTATTTGGCAGAAATGCGAAGTATAACAAGTGCAGCGTGAGCGTTTTCATTTCCAAAGTGTAAATACTGCAAATCTTAATTTACAACATTTATTTGCTCACTTACACTTAGTGGTAAAGTCTTTAGCAGAATTCTTCACCAAAAATGGATCTCTCAGATCAAGACTTTCATACTGTTCTCTGCAGAATGTCTAAACAATCTAACTCAAACTGGGAAGCAGATGGGCTTTCCTTGAATGAAGGCAGTTATCAGATGTATACATGACAGGTTATTAGGTATTTCTTTGTTTCAAACTTTAATATCATTTTACAGGCATATAAGAAATAAAGCTAGTGGGTTCTTATTGAAATTCTTGTAATCCCATTGAGAGCATTGTCTATTCTTTTGAACATTTAGTGGAATTCTTCCACCAAAAATCACTCCTAAAATCTCTAGAATTTTGTTGTGATATATGGACTCTAGGTCCTTAAAATTCTCCTAAAAAATTTAGAGGAAGAAGAGAAATTCTAGTTAAATTGCATAAAGCAGGGAGAAAACCAAAGAATGGCTATTGTTTTCTCTAAAATTCTGTAGTTTTTCTGAAGGATTCATTTAGCCTAATTCTGATGTCATTTTAAGCAAAGTAGGTCACTGCTTGTTAACCTTCAGTAGTGCATAATGTCTCATGAACTGCAGTTTACCTGCCTGGTAATGTTCATACGGCAGCACCGTAGCAGCCCCACGAGCACAGATTTAGGAAAAAGCCAGTCTTGGCTGTCGAAGCTGCATCTTCCTGTGTCTCCGAAGCCTCCGTGATCTGCTTGAGCCACTGCTCTGCTTCTGTGCCAGGGTCAGCAGGGGCTTTGAACACCACGTAGAGGTACTTGTACACGCTCCTGGTAAGACACAGGTTGAGGGCAGGAAAGCTGTGCTGTACATCCTGGACTCCAGTGGGATTCAATGCAAATTGTCTCCTTGTTCTCTAGCATAAAACATTTTGACAGCAATTAATAGAAAAAAGAAATACATAAGCATGAAACGTTCTTAAAACATGACATTTTTCTGCTAGTAACAAAGTGGAAAAAAAATTAGAGTTATTTTCTTAATGCTATTTTACTTAGATTTCCTTCAGATGCTGAAATTAATTTTCTCTCCTTTACTTTCCTATCATGCTTTTCCTATTATTAAAGAATTTCCTTTCTTGCTGAAATAGTTTGTGCTTAGCCTGCTCTCTAAATTTTCTGTAGAAACCTTGCATAAAACATGTGCAGCAGATTGTGAGATCTGGAAGAGAGGAAGAAAAAAGGTGTGTGCCACCTCTATCCTCATGGGCATTTAATATCAGGCTAGGCAAGTGTCGTGGTTTAACCCCAGCCAGCAGCTAGAACCGTGCAGCTGGGATGGGGGAGAGAATCAGAAGAGGAAAAGTGAGAAAAAACTCATGGGTTGAGATAAAGATAGTTTAATAGGTAGAGCAGAAGCCATGCAAGCAAAGCAAAATAAGGAACTCATTCACTACTTCCCATTGTCAGGCAGGTTCAACCATCCCCGGGACAACAGGGCTCCATCACACGTTCCAGTTACTTGGGAAAACAACCATCATCACTCCAAAAGTCCCTTCTTCCTTCTTCTTCCCCCAGCTTTATTTTCTGAGCATGGTGTCACGTGGCATGGAATATCCCTTTGGTCAGTTGGGGTCAGCTGTCCCGGCTGTGTCCCCTCCCAACCTCTTGTGCCCTCCCAGCCCACTTGCTGGTAGGGCGGTGTGAGGAGCAGGAAGGGCCTTGAGAGCTCAGCAACAACACCACCAGTGAGCTATCAGAAGTATTTCTCATCCCAAATCCAAAACATAGCTCTATACCAGCTGCTAATAAAAAAATTTAACTCTATCCCAACTGAAACTACGACACCAAACGCCAACTAGGAAGGATGGGGCGAGAGAACAGAACAGATGACTTCTTAAGGTCACTTCCAGCTTATTTGTCTGACTGTGTTTGTGCTCAATTCCTTCTCTCCCACAGCGACCCATCTCCAGCTGGTGAATGGAAGGCACAGATGTGAGGGTCGCGTTGAGCTCTATTACAACGGCCAGTGGGGGACAGTTTGTGACGATTACTGGGACCTTTCTGATGCCCAGGTTGTGTGCAGGCAGCTGGGATGTGGCCCGGCCATTGCAGCTCCAGGACACGCTTACTTTGGGCAAGGTTCAGGCAGCATCCTGCTGGACAATGTGGATTGTGTGGGGAACGAGGTCTCCTTGTCGGATTGTACTCACCGCGGGTGGAGGATACACAACTGTGCCCACTACGAAGATGCTGGCGTTGTCTGTTCAGGTGCTGTCACGTTTTTCTTTCCTAAAGACTTTTGCTATAAATTGCACTCAATATACAATGTGTTGGCCTGGGGGTATGCAGACACCCTCCTTCTGAGACAGCATTTAATTCACTCAAGGCATGTGTTGGAAAGTTATACCAGATATATCAATTATATGTCTAATCTGTTGTTCTACTTTATTATGAAGATTTATTTTTTCTCTGTGGAAAAGCACACTCCTTCTGAAAAAGCCTGTTCTCAGAAATCAGAGTCTGGTCTTCCAACAACCCTGTCTTTTCACTCTGCTGCCCCTGCTGAGCCACAGCATGGACTCACGGTGTTCTCACTAGGGTAGCATACAAACTGTGCCTGCTCACTCCATGCAAAGCAGTTAAAAAACCTAAGGTTCAGATAGGCATTGCAACATGTAGAGCTTTTATTCCACCTAATCACCCAGCAGTGACAAAGAGAATAAGGAAACAAGTCAAAATTAGAGGTAAAGCCACATCTGATAGGGAATGTTCTTCGGGGAGGAATGGGGTTTGGTGAAACTCATCACAAACGTTAATGCCTTCATTATGGTCAACAATAATTTCACAGCCACAGCCCAGACTGCCATAGCTGACAACTTGTTTTGTATTGTTTCTGTATTTTTCAAGTTTTCCTTCAAGTTTAGGTCCATTAATATTCTTTTCCTTTACGCACATCCATCCATTTTGAGTACTCTCTCACCTTGCTGTTTTCTGACTTTACATTCTTCTTATTTTTTTAAGAAAAGGTAGTTCATTCGTATGTTATTTTCTCCTGTGCTAACAAACAGATCGTTATGAGCCGGGACATGGCTGATGACAACAGGTTGTTCAGGTGGTTTTTATGTACTGGGGTTTTCCACATTTCCTCAAAGAGGAAGAGCCTGGAGAGCTGAATTCATGCTGGAAGGAAATGCTACATAAACCAATGCTTTGCCCTTAGAGGAAAACAAAAATACTTGCTCTGATACCTCTTTTACCATGTGCATGCTGCATTCAGTGTCTTTAAATGTAATTTATTTCTTGCTTGTATTTGTAGATTCAGCGCTTACGACAGACTGGCCATATTCAACAGGTGAGTTTCCACGACCTGATCTACTCCTGGCCTTGCACCAAACACCACCTCAAGACCACCACCTGGGCTGCTCCTCAGGATGACCTGAGCCTCTGCAGAAGGGTGTCCACAATGGTGACAGGTCCAAGCCCTGCTACTGCCAGCAGCCCTACAGCTCCCAGCTCCATGGCAGTAGCCTGTGGAAGACAGTCTCTGGCCACACCTGAGCCATGGTGTCCTATGGCTGGGAGTAGATGACACATCAGCATCTTTCCCTGCTGTCACCATCTGGAAATATCACATTCAAGAAAAAATTTCAATTGGTTGTTACCCAGCTCCATGCTCTGCAGTCAACATGGTGCATGCCATCAGAGTACTTTGTCTTGATTTCACTTCATCCTTGAGGAACTGGGCTTGTAGCTAACATACAGAAGTAACCATTGCACCAGCACAGTCCTCATGTGGATGATGTTTTTCTTCCATATTCACAGAAAACACCTTTACAACTCTGATGGCCTCCACAGAGCCAATGACCTCAGCATTGGAGACAACCTCCACAGCAGACACGACCTTCATAGCAGAGACGACCTCCATAGAGGAGATAACCACCCCAACACCAATGACCTCAACACTGGAGACGACCCCCATAGCAGAGACAACTGTTGCAGCATCAACAGCCCTCATGGCAGAGACGACCTCACTAGTGGAGATGCCCACCACAGCATTAACAACCCCCACAGCAGAGATGACATCCCTAGTGGAAATGACTACCAGAGCACTAACAACCTTCCCAGCAGAAACATCCTCCCCAGCAGAGATGACCAATGTAGTGCCAACAACCTCCTCAGCGGAGATCTCCTCCCCGGTGGCAACAACCACCACAGCATCAGCAAGCTCTGCAGTCCAGATGTTCTCCCAAGAGGTGACAACCACCACAGTGCCAACAACCCCCATAGCAGAGAAAACCACCACAGCGAGAATGGCTACCACAGCAGAGAGGAGCACACCAGGTAACCCTGTCCATTGTCACTCACTGATACCCTTAGCACCCCTGATCTCCCCTCCCAGACCTGACTGCAGTGGAGGGAGTCTCCCATCCCTGACCTATTCCAGTTAGGCCATTTGTGGCACCCAAGTCCACGGTGAGAGTGCAAGGAGAGCATGGAGCACGGCTGGTGAACTTGAGGGCTGAGACTTGAGGCCATGACCTCTGTAGCCATTCCTGGTGAAGGAAACTGTTCGGGGAGGGATTTCCTCTAACCACAACTGGGGAGATTACGACAGGAGATCATTCTGCCCCTCCAGTTCCTCCTATTTCTTAGACTTGTTCTGGGATTTGAAATGTGACTGGAAAAGAGAAAGCTGCCGCATCAAGTGTTTTGTAATGCAAGTTAGACCTCCATGGGCATGTGCTTCCTGCCCAGGGAGCAGATGGTTGTGTGAAACAGAGGAGTCACAACGGTCATTTCAGCTGAATGAAAGACCTCCGCGTAATGTTAAGTGCCATAGGGCAGGGGCTCCTTGAAGATGGGCTGCTTTGGGGTGCATGGCATGTGGTGAATGCGTTCAGAGCCTTTTTCATTGACAACAAATTCTTACTTACATCCATAGCTCTGTTGCCCACCACAGGTTGGCCATATTCAAAAGGTAATTCACGCCCACCAGACCCACCCCTGGCCTTGCAGCAACCACGCAGGCTCTCTGCTGTAGGGGTTGACCTATGGACAGCAGGGGGCTGGGCTGGTGGGACCCTAACCAAGTGTCACGTCCCTCACCCCAGGTGCCCACCTACGGCTCTCCGGTGGGAGGAACGGCTGCGAGGGCCGCGTGGAGATGTACGATGGCAGCAGCTGGGGGACAGTGTGTGATGACAGCTGGGACCTGAGTGATGCCCGGGTGGTGTGTCGGCAGCTGGGCTGTGGCCAGCCTCTGGCAGCCCTGGGCAACGCACACTTTGGCCTTGGCTCTGGGAGCATCTTCCTGGACGACGTGCAGTGCCGCGGGGACGAGCCCTCCCTCCAGATGTGCAGACACCGCGGCTGGGGTGTGCACAACTGCAGGCACATGGAGGATGCCAGCGTCATCTGTGAAGGTATGTGGACAGCAGAGGCCACCAGCTGTCCTGCAGATCCCACCAGGCGGGTTTGGGTGCCCTCCCTTGGGAGCAGCCATGCTTACTTCCTTCGGTAGAGCCAGGGTGAAGTGGTGAGGTTGGGGCTTTCACTGCCTGGTGCTGGAAGCACATGTCATGAAAAAGCCCCATTTTTTTCACAGAGGGCACAGTAGGCTCTCCACAATCTAAGGTGTAGGTGCTCAGTGTGGTGGCAAAGGGCAGGATTGCAGGATTGTGGCGTGGGGAGGATGGGGCAGCACTGGGGGCATGTCAGGCTGGTGTCTGGAGGGGGAATGGCAGGACAGAGCCCCACGGTCTTTTCCCCCATTAGAGCTCCAGCCTTGCATTTCTGTCTCCATTGTCCATGCCCACATCCATGTCCATGTCCATTTATTGCCATAAGCCCGTGCATTTGCTGCCCTTTCATTCATTCACTCCATCTTCTTCCTTGCAGTTGTACACACAACCCCTCCTGCTGAATGGCCATACACAACAGGTAATTCATGCCCACCCAGTTAATTCCCAGCCTTGCAGCAGACCCCATCTGGACATGAGAGGAGATGAGGGGGGACATGCTGGCCTGAGCCTGGCCAGCAGAGAGCTGCTGCTCCCCTCTGCCCTTGGAGAGGGACCATATGGTTTGGGGGCTGCTGCTGGGAAGGAGCTGAGCTGCTGTGGTGGTGACAGGTCCAAGCCCTGCTTTGCCATCCACCCCGTGGCTCCTGGCTCTGGGGCAGCAAGTGTCAAGTTCATGGAAGCAAGCCCTTCCATCCATCTCCTATGCCTGTTGGGTCAGTCCAAGATGCAGGTTGCTGCCCTGATACCGGGGCACAGTGGTGGCTTTGCAATGTCAAGCCAAGGTGGCCAGCACCCTTTCAGGCACCCTGTCAGGTTCCTCACACTGAAACTTCTCCAGGGTGCATGAGTGGTCCCCCTCAGGGGATGGGCCAGGGTCAAGGTGTACAAAGGGTTCTTCTGCAAATGTGAAGTGCCCCAAGCAGCCCCCAGGATTCCCAGGCAACTCCCTTGGACCACCCCAGCTGGTGCTCACCACGCATCTGCCTTCTGCATGGTCAGAGTCTTTGCTCAGTCACTGCCTGCCCCTGGTCCCTTCAGGTCTCCACCACCCCAGCTCATGATCACTGCGACCAGATCTCCAAAACAGCCAGGAGGTGGAGGCTGGGCTGGTGGGACCCTAACCAAGTGTCACGTCCCTCATCCCAGGTGCCCACCTACGGCTCTCCAGTGGGAGGAACGGCTGCGAGGGCCGCGTGGAGGTGTACGATGGCAGCAGCTGGGGGACAGTGTGTGATGACAGCTGGGACCTGAGTGATGCCCGGGTGGTGTGTCGGCAGCTGGGCTGTGGCCAGCCTCTGGCAGCCCTGGGCAATGCACACTTTGGCCTTGGCTCTGGGAGCATCTTCCTGGACGACGTGCAGTGCCGTGGGGACGAGCCCTCCCTCCAGATGTGCAGACACAGCAGCTGGGGTGTGCACAACTGCAGGCACATGGAGGATGCCAGCGTCATCTGTGCAGGTGTGTGGGCAGCAGCTCTCCCATGGAGCTTGTGTTTCCCCATGTCCCCATCCCCTCCTCGCCATGATCCCCATCGTGGTACCCTACACCCTAACATGGGTCCCTGTCTCTGCCTCGGCACCTTTCTCCTGAATAACACATCTGACTTGTGGCTTTTCTTCCTCCCCACCCACAGCTGCTCTGGCCACCCCAGCACCTCCCTCAGGTAATGCTCTTCCATGGCTCTTCTCATCTTTTTTATTTGTGGGCTGTCTCCCTGATGGGCTTTTTTAAGTCCTTATGGTCTGAGACCATGAAATTAGAGTTTCCTAGAAGATTTGCAATTTATTTATCCTCCAAAGTCCTTAGGGGAATAAAGAGAAGCAGCAGAGTAACCAGGGAATGCTGCCTTTCAGGAAGGTACTTCCATTTGACTGTCATGACACCTCCCAGACCAGATCTCAACTGCAGAAAGGAGAGAACAGAGCAAAAAGTGTCCAAGTGTTACCAGCCCAGCCTGAAGAGGGTAGTCTGACACCATGGATGTGTCAGGGAATCCTGGATACAACTTATGAAAGTAAAGCTAAAGCAAAACCAAATATTTGTTTTGATTTGGGTCATTCAGAGTATTACCTGCAGTCAGCAGGAGACCTGCTTTTCAGCAGCTGTAGATGAGACACGTACAACTCAAGTACAATTTTATGGAGTCCTGTAAGTAACTTAGAGTAAGCAATTTACTGAAAGTAAATTCTCTTCCATTTTTTTTCTGCAGCGCCATATTTTTGTGGTGGCTTAGTCTCAAACTCCTCTGGGATGTTGCAGAGCCCCTTCTACCCTGGAAGTTATCCAAACAACGCTGACTGCGTGTGGGAAATACAAGTGGAGAACAATTTCCGTGTTATGCTCACATTTAGAGATATTGCGTAAGTAAAACATTGATTCCCTGGGCAAATAGCAAAGTCAAAACTTACTCGAGAAGTTTCAAAACTTATTTGAAATTAGAAAAGTTCCTAGTTTTAAAGATACTTTAACGAAAACTGGATTACTGTAGTATTTTCTGCTCGCAATTTTCTGCTACGGCTACATACAAAATGAATAAAACCTTTGCCATGAAAATTTCAAGTGCTGAAAGATTTTATCAGGTGTTAGGCAGTTAAATCAGAGCTTCTGAAACGCATTTGACAAGTTGCTGACATTTGTTCACCAGGATGCAAATGGGCAGATGCCAGTATGACTACGTTGAAGTCTATGATGGGCCTCCACACTCTTCCCCACTGCTTGGAAGACTTTGTTCTGGTTCCTTTCCCACATACACATCTTCTTCAAACATGATGAGCGTTCGCTTTCACAGTGATTCCAGATACACCTTCAGAGGGTTTCAGGCTCACTACTCCTCCATTCCAGCAGATCACAACACGAGTAAGTTCCTGGTTGGTGTTTCTCAACAGACAAACCTGTTTATTGCTTTTGTTTGTGAAATAAATATTTGTGTCTATTCAAAGATGTTAGGGAAATTAAATGATGCATGTGAAATACGACAGATTGGTGTATAAAGTGCCTACCTTCTAAACTAAGAAAAAACCCAACATTTTGTTGAACTACAACCTTTAATCATTTACAAATTCCTGAAGTCACTAGCATATTGTTTCTTCTTCTTCCACCAGCCCTTCAGTGCTTGCCTGACTACATGCATGCGGTGATTAGCAGAGACTATCTCCAGTCTCAAGGCTACTCAGCACAGATGGTCACCCTGAACGACAACCGCTGTACACCAACAGTCACATCACGTGAGGTCATATTCAACATTCCCTACAACGGCTGTGGGACGATACGAGAGGTACAGTCCCCCTTGTGCATACTAAATTGTGGGACCCACTTTGAAAGGAGTCATGAAAGGGCCACTGTGGTCCACAGGACTAAGAAGGGAACCAACAAGACCCGGAGGTTTTTAGTGCTTTAGTTTTCCACGCCTTAGGGAATCCTCATGCTTAAGAGAAATGAGGTTTCTAGGGAGTAAAGATGATTTAAAATAGATGTAGCCTTGTAAGTGCTATGCAGGTTTGGGATGAGTGCAGTGTTTTGTACAGATGTTCAATGAGTTGGCTCTGCCTTGGATTTAACAAAGAGTTTTTCTCCACTTATTTCCATTTAATTATGTACTTCGGCAAGTTTATTTACAACGTGTGAGCAGAAAAGACCAATATAAAGCTCTTTTTTTTTTTAAAGAGTTTAAGATGAGCCTACATTTATAAATTGCATGTTACTCTACCAAAGCTTAGAACATGGGATGTGATAAATATGTAATTCCTCATTTTAAATTACATGTTTAGCAGCAGAACGATGATACAATCAACTATTCCAACATGATCAAAGTTACATCTTCTGAGCGCATAATCAAGAGGAAAAAGGATATTCACTTACGTATTAGTTGCAAAATGCTACAGGACACATGGATGCAAATAATGTATGTTGCTGAGAACACTGTAGATGTGAATGAAAATCAGTTTGGAAGATACGACACACGCATCGGTTTTTATGATTCCTCATCGTTCTCCCGGCAAGTGCACGACTCTCCATACTACGTTGACTTGAACCAAAATGTGTACGTTCAAGCTTCTCTTCACAACTCTGACCAAAATCTGACCATCTTTGTGGACACTTGTGTGGCATCACCTGATCCTCGTGATTTTAGCACTGTGACCTATGACTTAATCAGGAATGGGTAAGAGCTTTCTCAAGTCATTAGAAACATATCTGTAATACTCTATCTGCATTTATTTAAAAGAATAGAACCTATCGGAATTGGTTTAGATCTCATTATCAACAGAATGTTAAAACTAATATTTGATTTTTTTTTATATTTACAGTGTGAGCCTGGAAATAGGAAATGGCATTTAGACCTTACTGACATTTCCTTTCACTTACTTCATCTTTGTCCTGTATGTAACACGCAAACTAGTGGGAGTGAGATAGAGGAGATGGGCTAGTGAAAACTGGCAGCAGGAATCTATCATCCTAGGTGTTACATATTTTAGTAAAAACGGGTCAAGCATTAAACTAATTTTTTTTATTCCTTGTTATAGCACATACATTAGTAAGAGTCTGTCCTCTTCTCTTCATCACTTATAGTCTCCTTCTCTTGGAAAAAAATAAAGAGTTGTCAGTGCTCTAGCTGATTAAAGAACTCTATATTTTTTAAGTCTGTACTATGCTATAGAAGTTCTATTTTTATCACATTGTGTTCTTAGTACTTTGCAATGACATAATTTTGTTTTCACCCATTGCATTTTGTCAGGAATGTACCTGTGTGTACTCATGAAGAGTAATTTTCCTTCCCATTTCTCTCTAGGTGTGTTAGAGATTCTTCCTGTGCTACGTACTCCTCCCCCTACAGCCACTTTGCTCGGTTCAAATTTAATGCCTTCAAGTTCATCAGCCGCCACCCGTCGGTCTACCTGCGGTGTCAGCTGGTGGTCTGCAGGCTGAGGGACTACTCCTCCCGCTGCTACCGGGGCTGCCTCAACAGGTCCAAGAGAGACACAAGTTCTGCTGACGAAAAAGTGGATGTGGTGGTCGGGCCACTGAAGCTTCGAGAAGGGAGCAGGAATGCTGGTAAAGTCACATAAATATCTCTCGTGTTTATTCTAAGACTGCTTAGAAAAGCCATAGCTCAACATTTCTGACATCGGTCACTGAAATCTGCTTTTGCTAACTTTATTATAAAAGGGTGATTGTTTGTCTGACCCAAATATAGAATCACAGAATCAGAATGGGTTGGGTTGGAAGGGAGCTTAAAGATCATTGAGTTCCAACCCCCCTGCCATGGGCAGGGACACCTACTAGACCAGGTTTCTCAAAGCCCCATCCAACCTGGTCTTCTACAAATGTCTGCTTCTTTCAACACCTTGCAAAACCTCTGTTTTCACCTGCATATGTAAAAAATATAACCGCTTTGGCTGTCCCAAAAGAGAGGCAGCACGATCCCCATTTTAGTGTTTTAACTCCACTGAACTAATTAGCTCCAGCCTGATTGTGTAACGTGATGGCCAGCTCCAGCAAACTCCCAGCCTTCCTGAGAAACTAATCCCCTCAGCTTGCGAAGTTGGCTTAGTTAAGTTGCCATCCCTGCTGATGTAAAGCCTGTTCAAATAGTTTAAATCAATGAATCTGTAATATGTCAGCTTATTTCTGACTCCCATCTGGGAATCACCCCTTTTAACGCAGCAGCTCTTTGTGCCCTGATCTGTAATCTAATGACACCAAACCCCCTCTGCCTTCCCTCGCAGGGCTGGAGGCTTCTGTGCCTGATCCTCAGGTGGCTCCTGCTGCTGGTGATAATCCCTTCGCGCCACTTCTCGTCGCTGTTGCTGTCCTGGCAGTTGTCGTTTTCGTTCTTGCCGGTTTTCTTGCAAGATCCACGCTGAAGAAACCACTTTATCACGGGATAATGTCAGATCAAAGGTCAGCAGCATCTGTGAAATGATTACAGGGTAAACCTCACAAAACGCTTCGCTGACGACAGTCACACATTTGCCGTTTGTAAGAAGTTGTGACATCTTTATCTACAACAAATCCTAGCCTGTTACAGAGTTTTAAAATAACTTTCTTATCCTAACACCTATTAAATGATTAAGAAATAATTTCAACGTTCATGTCACGAGTTGTTTGGTACAATCATTTTTCTCCTCTTTAATTCTCTTCTCAATTCATGTCACGAGTTGTTTGGTGGTACAATCATTATATCATTTTTCTCCTCTTTAATTCTCTTCTCACATCCTTCTAAGACCGTTTATCTAATGTCTCAAAATTACGTGAGCTCAAGTAAAAATATGAATGAGGCATCACTAAATATTTCAAAGTTTATTAAAAAAGAAGAAGATTTAATTTTGGGAGAAGTAGTAGGTCATGTCTGGAAAGGAAATATAAATATTTTACCATGGCATCTGGAATAGTGGCTATACAATATTCTAATAACTTTGAGTATTGTTTTTAATGCTAAATTTCTCATTGAGACAATAATGGATCTTTTTGTGCTTATTTATAAAATGCAGATATTTCCAAGCTAACGTAATCTGTTACATGAGCAGTGTAATTTAAAATCAAAGGAAGGAATGTTTACAAAGCAGTAACTCTATTTTGTCTTTCAAATTAATGTCTCTGTGATTAAAACACAAACAAAGGTTTTGTTGTGTTGAAGAGTGTGGTCTGTCGGTTTCAAAATTTGCAAAGTGATGGCCCCTGCTTCTGAAATGCTACACAGGAAATTTCTAAATATCTTAATGTAGGCTTCAAAAGGAATGAGCTAATTCTTTTTCTTTCCACATGTAAATTTACAGAAAAATGTAGGAATCCAGATTGCTGACTTCTGATTCAGAAATGCCTTTCCTTTGGGTTTCCATTACTTTCTCCCGGGTGTCACACACAAAAGGGAAATGACCCACGTTGTTCCGGGGAGTCCTCAGGAGCTGTCTCTCCACGTTTCCCCCGTCCCTGTGCTCCCTCCAAACCAGGTGGCTCACTGAGTCCCTCAGCATCCTCTCCCACCCAAGCAGGCCCTGCATCTGCTGCTTTTCCCACAGCAGCACCAAAGGTGAGGAGCTCAGGAAAGGTGACAGGAGCTTCCCCCTACATGCCAGTGAGGAATAACTGTCTTCTACAGCCAGTAATTTTTCCCACAGCAGCACCAAAGGTGAAGACCTCAGGAAAGGTGACAGGAGCTTCCCCTACATGCCTGTGAGGAATAACTGTCTTCTACAGCCAGTAATTTTCTCCCTGTTATTGCAGAATACTCCAGTATTCAATTTTCTGCCCATCAGTTGGATTTTGAAACGCTTCTACGTACTGCTGTGAAGAGGTGTGAGGTGCCTCTGTTTTGTGTGAATGTTGGGCACACCTCTGTGTGTGCGGCTACAGCAAGGCATTTTCATGGAGTTAATCTTGTAAAGGGCAGGCAAAAAAATAAAATTAAATCTACCAGCAAAGGTAAAACAAGTGTTCAAACATCACAGGGAAAGCCTTGAAAGACTCCTTGGTTCCTCACTGATGACAGGCATGTTTGCAAAGCAACTGCCAGGCATGTTTGCAAAGCTGAGAAGCAACAGAGCACAGAAATCATCATGCCCTGAGAGGTCTAGAGAAAGTTCCCCAACCATTTTAGTGTTATCTGGTTAGTTATTTCTGTTATCTTCTCAAGAGACATACATCCTGCTCCTGTATAGCCCTGGTCTCCTTCTAGCTCCGCAATGTGGCACTTGTGCCCATGAACACCACAGCCTGTTTCCCTCAGAGCTGCTAGGTCCCTGTCTCCATCCTCAGTGCTGGCCACCCTCGTGCCACCTCCTCCTCGCCCATGGGTGCTGCTGCTCACCCTGAGCATCAAAACCACATCAGCTGGAGCTTCTCTCTGCACCCCCAACACCACCACCTCAGCCCAACACCTTCCTAATAGACATTTCCCTAACTTGCCTAAGCAACCTCTTCTCATGCTCAATAAGACTCACTACTGAAACTAGAATCACTGTTGAAAAGGCTTTTCACAATGTTTATCCTAAATTTTCGCTGTTGTAGGTCAAGCCCATTAGTTCTTGCCCTGTCCCTTCTGGCCATTGGGAGTAAGTTTGTCCCTCTTACCTTTAGGTGTATTTTACCTAGTTGAAAATTGATGTTTTTTCCATTAAGTTTTCACTTCTTTAGATTAAATAAATCCAAATTCAAAAGCTGTTAAAGGTGGTTTCTTTGCAATATTTAAGGCTGAATCACACAATCTGATCTAAAGGCTTGTGAAATCAATTGGAAGCTTTCCCATTGATATACATCCTAAACGAGGCAAATCTCATCCAAGAGATCAAATCTCAGTCAGGAGACTTTTCAGGTCTCAATGAAATGTCATTTAAATGTTGAAAGACATTTCATGTCTCCTTTCCAGAAGGAATAGGTTTTTTCCAATTTTAATACTTTTGGTTGTTGTTGACAATAAAATAATTTGATTTCTTTCCTTCCCCCACCCACCATGGTTCTATGCTTTGTCATTATGAGGAGTTTGGCGTCTGAGGACTTACCCAGCCTTTTGGAGTGTGTTGTGCACATTCATAAATCAGGCTGAAATATGCTGGAAATGCAAACAGCCAAATCCCACACAAACATTTATCAATGGTGCATGAAAACATGAAAAGCAAGATCTGGGATTTTTGCCTTTCATGTCCTACTTGAAAATACAGAGAATCAAAGCCAAAATGTAAACTAAAATGTTTATTTCAACATCTGTTTTGTATTTATTTGTTTTGTGTGGGATCAATGTTTTGCCAACCACATAGTGACGCCTGGTGCCTGCAAACACAAGGAGGTCAAGAACCAGGAGCCTGTGGAGGCCGCTGCCTTCACTTTTTTTAAATGAGCTTGGCATTGTCACCTCCTCCACCCATGGAGAAGACACACCAGCCATCACTGGACAGGTTTTTGCTTTAAGTAACTGTCTGACTTTGGTATTAGATTGTTTAATTTCTTCTGAGTGCATCTGTCACTACTCAACCACGTAGTATGTACGTGTTCACTCAGTAGTATGTGCTCAACCAACCATCTCAGCACCAACTAAGGATGTTGTTTGCAACATCCTCATAAAATCCCTTACAAGTGTCACCCTGTGTGGTGAGAGGTCTGTTGGGAGGGGATAATTACTGAATTACACCTCATATATCCAGACGATGTAGCTACAAGTGTTCATAACTCCAACAAAACCACAACCCCCTGAACAGCTTCCCTGAGGTGGCACTTAAAAAGGATTTTTTCATGGAAAGAGAACAGTAATTTGGTTGCAAATGTATACACCTGTTTTGGTAAAAAATAATATTGTATGGACTTTATGGGTTCCTGCCAGTTCCCGGTGTTGTCATGCAACCTGTTTGGCCAGCATTGGGGTTAAAGAAAAGCTCAGAAAAAAAGTTCGTTTGCTTGTTTGTATGCTGAATGTCCTGTACTTTGATCTCTCGTTTATCTTTCTCTTCTAATTCTAGAGTATGAAGGAGATAATTCAGCTCTGTAGTCCTCCTTCCCATGAAAATATCAGATGGATCCATAGCAATTTGGTTGCAAATATATACGCCTGTTTTGGTAAAAAATAATATTGTATGGACTTTATGGGTTGCTGCCAGTTCCCAGTGTTGTCATGCAACCTGTTTGGCCCCTGTTTGGGGTTAAAGAAAAGCTCAGAAAAAAAGTTCTTGTTTGCTTGTTTGTATGTTGAATGTCCTGTACTTTGATCTCTCGTTTATCTTTCTCTTCTAATTCTAGAGTATGAAGGAGATAATTCAGCTCTGTAGTCCTCCTTCCCATGAAAATATCAGAAAAATATTTATAATTGGGTATAAATAAACACTGGGTTTTTTTCCTGGATCCCGTAGCTAGCAAGTAGATTGCTTTTCCAGTTGTTAATAACAAAACCTCATGTTTTGTAGATTGAGAGTAAAAAAAAAAACACGTAATTTGTGTTTGCAGGGTGTGGGTAGGAAACACAAGTTTTCTTGTTTTCATTACTTTCTCCCCATGCGTTCTTGTTTGCTTGTTTGTATGTTGAATGTCCTGTACTTTGATCTCTCGTTTATCTTTCTCTTCTAATTCTAGAGTATGAAGG